TTTTGTAGAGAAATGTACCAACACCATCTTTCCTATGTACCAGTGATGAACAAGTAGAATTTGAAATTTAAAACAACAGCATTTAAATTAGCTCTCCAAAAGAGAAAACACAGACATACATTTAACAACATGCACATAAGTTCTATTTGAAGAAAATTAACTGATAAGAGAAATAAAAGAATAAGTAAATGGGCAGATATGTTCTTATATTAGGGTGATTCAATATCATTGAGGTCTCTTCTTCCCAATTTGATCTTTATGGTTCAGGAAATTCTACTCAAAATCCCAATAAATCATTTTTTTTTTGCCCAAGATTCATTTGTTTTTATTGGTAAGGTATATTTCCAGAGAGAAAGGGAGACAAAGAGAAAGATCTTCTGTTCACTGGTTCATTCACCAAGTGGCTTCAATGGCTGTAGCTGAGTCAATCTGAAGTCAGGAGCCAGGAGCTTCTTCCAGGACTCCCAAGCAGATGAGAGCCCCAACGCTTTGGGTTATCCTCTTCTGCTTTCTGAAGCGACAATTAGGGAGTTGGATGGGAAGAAGAGCAGCCAAGACATGCACTGGCTCCCATATAGGATCCTGGTGCATGCAAGGTAAGGACTTGGCCGCTAGGCTTTCACACTAGGCACCCCCCCATCCAAGAAATTATTTTATGGATATCAGCAAACCAATTCCAAAATTTATATGGAATGAGAAAAGATGTGATAATCAACATTACACTGAAGAACAACACTAGAGGACTAACACTATCTGACATCAAGATTCTATCAATCCATAGCAATCAAGACAGTGTGATTTGAGCAAAAGAATAGACAGACATAGAAGATCATGACAGAACAGACAGTAGTACAGAAATAAGCCCACAGAAACAATCAACTGATTTTTGACAAAGAAACAGAAATGAAAGGGAAAAGGACAGCCCTGACAACATAGTACTGAATAACTGGACATCCACATTCGAAAAAATGTTCGTAGCTATAGACCACAGAAACTTCACAAAAAGTGACAGAAAGTGTAAGAACCCAATTACCTTTCCCATCCCCACTGGCTCCCAGGGTGTGTATTAACAGGAGGCTGCAGTCAGGAGCAGGCGCCACAAATCAAATCCAGATCATTCAATACAGAATGGTGGTATCTTAACAGCCTAAACGCCCAGTTCTTACAGCAGCTTTTTTTTTTTTTCCAATAATTGCCAAAACTTGGAAGCAAAGGAAAATGTCTTTAAGTAAATGATTGAAAACAACAACAAAAAAGTGATAATTGGGAGGGGAAAAAATGATTAGCCAATTGAGTCATTGTGCTGAATCAAAAATCCTATTTTATATATTGCATACATGATTTCTAAGTTTAAAAGTTCAAGTCTTCCATTATGCATACAAAGCAATCTACACTTCTTTTTTTAAAAATTTTTTTTACATTTTATTATTATTTTATGATACAGTCCCATAGGCTCCTGGTATTTTCCTTATCCCAGCCCCAATTCCTCCCCCCCCCATCTAGTTCCTCTATATCATTACTAACAGATAGTTCTTCATACAGTCATATGTCCACCATTGCGGGCATGGACAACGGCAGAGAGTCCAGCATCCTATTGTCAAGATACAGTAAACAGTTTCATTGTAAGTCCATCTTTGTCTGGAAGTAGAAATGCATACTACACTGCATCCTCACATCTGGATGTTAGTCTCTGTTTCATAGCTGCTGTACATCCCCTTAAATGAAAAGTCATGATACAAAATCAACAATAGAAAGAAAAATAGAAATTTACAATGCCAAGAAGTTAAATAACATGTTACTAGGTATGACAATCTCTATTACACAGCTACTATACATCCCCTTAAATGAAGAGCCACCAAACAAAATCAACATCCGAGAGAAAAAGAAATTAACAATACAAAGAAGTTAAATAACATGGTACTAAATGACTAATGTGTAGCTGAAGAAATGAAAATCAAGAACCTTCTTGAAGAAAATGATGCCACTGCATTATCTACGAGTCATTGATTTAATCAGAAGAAGTATTTTGAGGAGATGAAACGAACCGAAAACATCAAATCCCATGAGATATAGTATCCGCTGATTTTTGTTGGTGAAGTGTGTCTCTTCTAGACAACAGATTGGTTTTGTTTTTAAATCCAGTCTACTAATCTATGATGGTTGATTGAGCTTAAGCCATTTACATTCAGGGTTAAAATGTATGGGTGGGGGCCCGGTGGCGTGGCCTAGTGGCTAAAGTCCTCGCTTTGAACACACTGGGATCCCATATGGGCGCCGGTTCTAATCCCGGCAGCTCCACTTCCCATCCAGCTCCCTGCTTGTGGCCTGGGAAAGCAGTTGAGGACAGCCCAAAGCTGTGGGACCCTGCACCCGTGGGGGAGACCCGGAAGAAGTTCCTGGATCCTGGCTTAGGATCAGCATAGCATCGGCCGTTGCACTCACTTGGGGAGTGAATCATCGGACGGAAGATCTTCCTCTCTGTCTCTCCTACTCTCTGTATATCTGACTTTCCAATAAATAAATAAATCTTTAAAAAAATGTATGGGTAGTATTTTGGTCCTGTCATTTTAGCAGTGGGTTGTTCATTGGTTTAGTCTTCTGTTGTCATTTGACTGGGATGTTCTTCCTGTTTGCCTTTAGTTTTGTTTGGTGCTATTCCTCTCCTCTGTCAAGAGAACATCGTGAAGTAGCATTTGAAGGACAGGTTTGAAAGAGGCAAATTCTTTTAACTTTTCTTTACTATGGAAGAATTTTATTTCATTTTCAAAGACAAAAGAAAGCTTTGCTGGATATGTTATCCTAGGCAGACAATTTTTTCTTTTAGAATCTAGAATATGTTGCTCCATTCTCTTCTGGCCTATAGAGTTCCCTGTGAGAGATCTCCTGCGAGTTTAATTGGCATTCCTTTATACGTCAGTGGATTTTTTTCACGTGCACATTTAAGGATCTTTTCCTTATGTTCAATTGAAGAGAGCTTGATGATCAGGTGTCTTGGTGAAGATCTCCTTTGGTCAAGCCTGTTGGGAGTTCTGTGCCCCTCCTGGATCTTGTTTCCCAATTCTTTCTCCAGATTAGGGAAATTTACCTTTACTATTTCATTAAATATATTTGTAGAATCAGCTTCTCTTTCTTCACCTTCTGAGACTCCCATGACTCTTATATCTGGCCTCTGAAGGGTCTCTTTCAATTCTTGAATACTTTTTTGGCCTGATCCAGCTCTGCTTCCAACTTTTTGTTTGCTTCTCCCTAATGACAGGAAATATCTTCTAATTTCAAGATTCTTTCTTCTGCTTGCTTCATTCTATTTTGGAGACTCTCCACTGTACTTGTAATTTGCTCTACTGTGCTCTTAATTTCTGATATACCAGCCTTGATTTGACACATTGCTTCCTTAAATTCCTTGAACTCCTGTATGTACGTCTCATTGTTGCTCAGAAGCTTTAAAATGAGTTTTCTGAATTCTGTGTCCCCCATTTACTTGATATCTTCCTCAGTTAACTCTGAGGTTGGCAGAGGGTTTTGCTTCTTTGCAGGAGAGTTTTCAGTAATATTCATTGTCCCTTTGACTCTTCTTTTGCTCTTAATCATTATAATTCTGGTTAGCAGAGTCTTCTCCTTGTAGTAGGTTTCTAAGCTCTGTCACTCACAGGTCTACAGTTTGATTTTACTTATTGCAGTTGGTGCACAACTCTTTGCTTGCAGCCAATTATGCCTCTCCCTCCAGCGAGTTCCAGGTCTGGGTTCTTGTGTCAGATTTCCACCGTGGTCTCCATAGCCCCAATTCCTGACTCACCACTCTCCTCCTGCTGTGATACCGTGCTGAGGTTGCACCGTTGTCTCTGCAACCTTTCTCCCACTTCCAGTTGGAGCAGGTCCCAGGATTAGGGAGACACCAGGTGTCCTATATAGCTAGGGTGTTGGTGATGCTGATCTTGCAGGAATTTGTTGAACGTTAGGTCAGGGTGCCACATGGACCTATTTTGACCCGTACGATTGCCACAGTTGACATTATTTTCCTGTGGGACCAGTGCAATCCACTGAACTCATTGAGTTCTCGCAAGCTCAGCACATGCGCAGTTCACTGTTATCCCTTGCAGTCCTAAAGCATTTGCCACAGTGTACAAAATGGCACCTGACATACCACTACTAGAACTCTTGATCTGCTGGCCATCAGATTTGAGGGTTACCCAGACCTGTCTTTGGTGGAACCTGTAGAATGCCACGTTGATTTAGTTACTGGGTCAGAAATGAGCTCACTCCCAGCTCAGCGTATGCTCAGTCCTTTCCCTTGCCTTTGCCCCCTTACACAAAATGGTGCCCAATTCGGCTCTAGGGGGTTGACTGGGCTATGAAATTCACTCTGTTCTCGCACTGCCTGAGATTTGCTGCACTGTCTCTGCTCCTGGTCAAATAAAACAGACCAGCAGGACGGATGGTTCTTTGTCTTGGTTCACCTCCCAAGCTCCCAGTGAAAGTCCCTTCCCACCTGGTTGCTGGTGGAGTTCGGCTGCTGGTGGAGTTCAGATTGCCGTCAGCTGAATGCCGTTGGATTATCAGTCACCACAACATCACACCGTTGTGTCTGTTGCCTTCCTGTGTCTGTCAGTCTCCAGGTACCCCTCTCCTGTTGTTCTGTCCTCTCCTATTTCTCGGAATGTGTCCTCTCTGCTTCATCCTGATTAAATGTTTCTCCATCTCGTTTAAATATGTCCTTACCCTATGCCACCATCTTGATTCTCCCACAATCTACAATTCTTAACTCTGATCTACCTTGATGCAAGTCCCTCTCCCTGCAACACTTCTTTTCATTTCAATGATTACAGTACATGTGATTAATTTCAATCTCCTTTTCCATCCTATCTTTGAGGTCATATGAATAAATTATTTTCATCCCATCCCACCTGCTTCCACCTGTCTTAGCTAATACCTGAATAAATTACTGGTGAAGTGCTGTTATTTTTCTGTGTTGCAGATAATAAATGACAGAGACGAAAGAAAAGTATCGATCACTTTGTATTTATTACAAGTTCAACAACTGAACTTATTCAAGTTACAGAATTCAACCTCCAATGTAGGCAATAAATGCCTATTCAATTGTTATTCATCTCATTTTTCTCCTACAACTTCAACACAGCAAAATATATTAAAGACACATGAACAGATTCAAAGCACTTTTAGTGGTTCACCATCATGAGACAAAGTACACATTTATCCATAAAAATATAAGACAGATAGCTCATATTTTAAAATATTAGTTACATGAAATAAAGAAAAAAAATAAAATACTGCACTTTCACTACAATTAAGCTTTTGGTGGACAATAATAGATTATTTTTTAAAATAATGCTCCTCTGCAGAGCATATGCTGTGCTTGGCACATGAGCACTCAGCAATTGCTTGGCTTCTATCAGTGTTTCCTCTAGCAGGACCCCAACTTGGGGCTGCTGTGCCAACTCTCAGCCTCTGATCTGCCTTCTCCATAGGAGCTATTCTGGCAGGAGCTGGTCCCGTCTTCTTTTATCTGTTCTTAAGGCTCTCCCATTTTCCCTTATTCTCCCTTAGGTCAACACTTGTTGTCAACTCACCCCTCAGCAAGATACCTGGCACAAAACTCAGAATGGCGCATCCTTCCTGCAGTTTCCATACCCTAGAAGTTGTCCCTTCACTGACTAAAACACAACACTAAAGTAAACAGAGCGAATCTCTCCACTGCAGTCATTCTCCACTTCATAGCCACCACCTCCAACAATATAACAACAAGGTGGCGATGCCTGATTTAGAACTTAAAACATTCAAAAAGTTTAGGCAAAATAGACACCACTGCTCTGAAGTTTTTTAAAATCTATTACTTTTAAAATCATAAAAATGTAAAAAAGTGTAAACATTCTACTAAACATTTCAATAGAAATCCTGTTACGACTTAAGCAGGTTCATAGAGAACAAAAGTGACACCACGTTCCCTTTGGAAGTTCCAAAATCACGCTCCCAGTCTTAAACCTGTCAACATACATTTCCTATCACCAGACAGCTACGTAGATCCAACACTACTCTTGATGACAACTACTGCTGCTATTCATGAACACACCATCAACAAAGCAGAAGAAGGCTCACTGTTATCTCTGCCCACATGCTTGCTAGGCATCCTATCCCATTGCGCCAACTCAGCCAGCCTCGGTGACCAGGCAAACACAAGGAAATAAGGCCACAAAAAACTGGAGCACCTCCTTCACCAAACATTGCAAAGCGACATCAGAATAACAGCGGGAATCATTGAGCAGTGGGGAATGCTGCTGACAAGAGATAGGAATAGAGGGCTAGATGCTAGTGTCCACGATTCCAGACCACCCTCCCATCACCAAGTTAGCATATTCCCTTCACTATGACACTGCTGGCAGTCTGAGAAGTCTGATCATCTGTTCAAAAGGAGGAGCCCATTAGGCAGGTAATTCCAGTCATTTATTGCTCTGGCAGCAAAGTTTCAATGTTCTTAAAAGAATTAAACTAACAAGATGTTTCATTTTTCAAAAAAAAAAAAAAATGAGTAACTTAAAAAATAACCAAGAAAAACATACTGTTTAAAAATGAATTCTCCTAGACACAAAAAATCAATGAAATGACATTGATCAGCTCTGGGGAATTTCTTTAACATCTTTAGCAGTCATGACGAAAGTACAACCTGAAGCCAGAACTCCTGACATGGGCAATAAACAATACCAATTAACCAGAGTATTAACTGCAATGACTTAAAATGGCATTACCTGAATCATCTCCATGGCTAAGTGTCAGAAAAAAGTGAAATAAAAAATATTTTCAACAGCACCATAAAGTTTTATAAAACACTATTTTAGTTAATCTACAACCTCAACATTTTGGTCCATCATTCATATCAGGCACAACCTCACAACCTCTTCTTTTACTGAGAATAACTCTTGACATGCCGTATAGGTAGAATCATAACAAGAAAATGATTTCATTTTGATATCACTCAAAAACCAGTACACTCAGTATACTTACTCACCTTTTCAGCTATACCTGTTAAGTACTAGAGGACTCAAAAAGCCAGGAAAGATAGTTTTAGCATTTACATTCTAATCACAAATTTTAAAAAGGACTTATATCCTAACCAAATTAAGATAACTGTCATAATGAAAAAGTTCTTTTGTTCCTGTTTGCTCTCATATAATATGCTCTCCTGGGTTTTGTTTCTATACAATAATATTTTATAAACTGCTCCGAGTTTTTAAAATTAAGCGTATTTTAAATTTTGAAATAAAGCAAGTGAAAAACAGACCAATTTTATAGCCAAATTATCTGGAATTATGCATAACAAGTGACCTATAAAAAGAAGCACATCACAGATTGGGATCTCCTCAATATCCAGCATGCTCATGGATCTCCTATAACTGTTAGCACATAATATGCTAACTCAATTCATTGATCTAAGGAAAACACATTTGGAAGTACTGACTTAGCTACAAAAACCATACTGTATTCCCAAAACCAAAAACAAATTAGGTTTAAAAGTATCAATTTCATGTCTCCCCTCGATTAATGCTGAGAACTGAAACTTGGCATTACTACAAATTAGCTAGTGTTAGAGCAAACTTGCTATAAAATTATTTATAACAAAATAAATATTTTCAGTCCTTCTACACTAAATAGTACATAAATCATTAGCAGTTTATAACATAAGCTTAGGTCACTTTTTTTGGGACCCAAACATACTGTACAATCCTGAGTAAAAGGTTAGAGATACAGTTTCTTGGGGATCTCTCTTGACCAAGAATCAAAAAAGAAAACCATAAACCATAATCTGTAATAATCCCCATTTGCATTACAAGTACCATGAATCATTTTTACTTTGGTAAGTAAGTTTATCTATGTAAACCATTTGTCTTGATAAAGTAAAATTATGCAGCTTCTGCTAGGATCCTTCTATCACCTTCTGACACTGATAGAGTAAATAGTCCGGAAGACTAGGGCAGGAAGATCTGAACCACAGGGCTAACACATCAGCATACAACCGGCAATGCACTAGGCAGGGGGTGGATGGGAGCAGCTGACAGGCCAATAGCCCTTCATTGCCTGCAATCAAACAGAAATGAAAAATTAACATAAAACAACTTCAATACACATACCTCCAAAGAAAGATACAGATGCCCGATAAAGACATGAAAAGTTACTCAATATCACTAATCACTATGGACATGTAAAAAAAAAATGCAAGTGTTGATGTAGATGTGAAAAAACTGGAATGCCTTTCTGGATTTCTAGTGGGAACAAAAACAGGTGTAGTTGCTATGAAAATGATATAACAGTTTCTCAAAAAATTAAACATAAAATTAACATGATCCAGCAATTCCACTTCAGGTATATTACCAAAAAAAAAAAGAAAAAACTGTGAAAACAGACACCTGAACAGATATTTCTATGCCTGTGTTCAAAGGAGCATCATGCACAGTAGCTAAAAGGTAGAAGTAACTTAATTGTCCAGTAACAAATGAATGAATAATCAAAATGTAGTATGTTCATAATCAGGCTTAAGAGGGAAGAAAAATACTACAATATGGAAACCATAAAGATGTTATGCTATGTGAAATAAGCCAGTCAGAAGAGGACTAATATTATAAGATATCAAAATCAAACATAAAAAGTGGAATGCTAGTTGCCAGGGGCTGGAGAGGAGGGGCGACTGGGGAGTTAGTGTTCAATAGGGAATAGAGTTCCAGATGGGAAGGATGAGAAAGTTCTGGAGGCAGATGACAGTGATGGCTGTATAGCAATGTGCATGTAGTTCATGCCACTGAACTACACAGTTAAAAATGGCTAGAAAGGTAAATTTCATGGTTTGTAAATTTCCCAATTAAAAATCCTATTTAATTAAGCACACTGGAAACCACATTCATCTGAAAGATATTCATAATAGGAAACACAGCTTTGGGAAAGCTACTACTAGGAACAGTTACTGATTTGTGTTCTGATTGTGTGACAGCTCCCACAGACACAGGGCTGCTTTTCATAACTCTACAAACCTATAATGTCAACAACATGAAGTCTTAGTTTCTGTTGCAGAGTTTTTAGGGTAGAAGGCAGACCAGCTTCAGAGTCTGTCATTTTCACGTTTTGCTTCACATCATTTGCGAAGGACAACCAGAGTTTGCCAAAGTCTTCAGTTGAGATTTTTAACGGTCTGAAAATAATTTTGAAAATTTGATTTATGTCAAAAAGAATGAAATTATTCTAAACAAATACACTTCAAATGACTCATGGAAACAAAACATAATCATTGTAAAACCAAGTCCCATAAAACTTGTGCTTTTCAGCCAAATACGATTGTAATACTTGAACTTAGTATCATCTTCCAACCTAAAAAAATACTGAAGGTAGGATAAAATACTAAATTGCAAATGTCTTTTCAATAAATCACTCAGTTTTCTTTTCCTGAGTATTAGTCATCCCAGTAAGATTTTATCAAGTAATCTCATAAATCATTCAAAGATAACACAAAACCCATGTATTCTCTGAATTAGGGAATAATGACGGACTTTACCATAGTCACTTAGAATACCACAAATATAAAAATATAGAAGCTGGAGTGGGAAAGTCAAGCTACCACCTGGGATGCGTGCATCCCATACTGGAGTGTGTCTGAATCCCAGCGACCCTGCTCCTGATGCAGCTGCCTGCTAATGTGCATGGGAAGCAGAGAATAATGGCTGAAATACTTTGAGTCCCTGCCACCTACATGGCATGTGTGGATGGAGTTCCTGGCTCCCAGCTTCAGCCTGGCCCAGTCCCAGCTATTGCAGCATATGGCCAGTGAGCCAGCAAATACAGGACCTTTCACTCTCTCTTAAATAAATACATTTTAAGAAAATAATAACATCTTAAATAAATTAGCCCAAGAGAAATTTTAACAAATATGGTTTTTAAGGAGTTCAAGAGGAGCGGATGTTTCTTCTAGCAGGTTAAGATGCCCACATCCTACACAAAAGTGCCTGGCTTCAATTTCTAGCCAGCTGCTGATGCCAGTTGCCTGGCACTGTAGACCATGGAGAAAGAGGTGATGGACCAGATAACTAAGCTTCTGTCACCCTGTGGGAGACCTTGCACTCCCAGCTTCAGCCTCTGCGCAGCCCCAGCTGTTGCAAACATTAGAGAACTAAAGCAGCAGATGGCAGTTCTATTTCTCTGATAATTTCTTAAAAGATTTATTATCACTATTATTATTTTTGAAAGGTAGAGTTACAAAGAGAAAGAGCTAAAAAGAGATCCTTGAGTTCACTCGCCAATGGCTGAAATGGATAGGACTGTGCTAGACTGAGGCAAGGAGCCCAGGGTTTCTTCTAGGTCTGCCACATGGGGTCAGGGGCCCAAGCACTTGGGACATCTTTCACTTCTCTCCCAAATACATCAGCAGGAAGTTGATTTGGAAGTGGAGCAGTCGGATCTCAAACTGGCACTCATAAATTGCTCACAAAATTACAAAGGTCAAATAGTTAACATCTGGCATATCAGGGCATGGTGTTTACATTTAAGTTATTCTATAGTATTTCAACTTTTACAATAAATATTGACTTACATAAGATACAATTTTATTAATGGACACAAAAATATATGTATAAATACATAGATAAAACTGTGTTGTACATATTACGCTACTTGAGGATTACACTCATGGGATATACCTTCATAGATACAGAATGTAAGTTTTCTGAGAGCTGTATCTTACATGGCACAGGAGACATTAACAACTCTAACAGACTGAGACACTTTTTCTTTTAAAGATTTATCTATTTAAATACCAGAATTACAAAGACAAGCAGAGAGAGAGAGAAAGAGTGAAAGACAGAGAGACAAAGAAAGAGATAGAGAGAGAGAGAGAGATCTTCCATATGCTAGTTCATTCGTTAAATGACTGCAACAGTCAGGGCTGCTGTCAGGTAGAAGCCAGGACCTAGGATGCTTTTTTTAAAAGATTAATTTACTTTTACTGCAACGCCATTTGAGAAGGGAACCAGTACATAGGAGTTCTTATTCTGTTGTAAGTCCCTTTCCATCTCTCTGATTCTCTAATAAAAAATACAAAGTTTAAATTTTTTTCAGTAAAAATAATTATATATACTATATACTATATAATATAGTATATAGTATATATATATAATGAGAGAGAGAGAGAGGAGAGGAAGGGGAGAGGCAGAGAGGAAGATCTTCCGTCCAATGATTCACTCCCCAAGTGATTACAATGACTGGTGCTGTGCTGATCTGAAGCCAGGAGCCAGGAACTTCCTCCAGGTCTTCCATGTGGGTGCAGGGTGCCAAGGCTTTGGGCCGTCCTTGACTGCTTTCCCAGACCACAAGCAGGGAGCTGGATGGGAAGCAGAGCTGGCTGGATTATAACCGGCATCCATATGGGATCGCTGCTTTGCCAGGTGTAACAGAAAATAACTGGATTGGAAGCAGAACAGCCAGGACCCAACTATGAGTCAGTAGTTTAACCCACTATGGCATAACATCGACCCCCCCAGTAAAGACACGGCAGAAATTATAGCAGTGTAATATAAATAACCAGGTGTACTGAGATTAAACCACAGGGTTGGCATTTGGCCTAACAGTTAAACCACAGTTGAGATGTCCATTCCCCATATGACAGTTCCTAGGTTCAATTCTGCCTCTGCTTCCTTCAGTTTTGAGCTAATATACATCCAGGGTGGCAGCAGATCATGGCTCAAGTGATCACATCCTCACATGGGAAATGTGGACTGAATTCTCAGCTCCTGGCTTATCTGATACAGCCACATTTGGCACAGCCATTTGAGAAGGGAACCAGTTCATAGGAATTCTTATTCTGTTGTCTCTTTCCATCTCTCTGATTCTCTAATAAGAAAAGTCTAAAATTTTCTCAATAAAAATAATTTATCAATATTCATTAGCATTCTGTATTCTTGATTCAAGCAGCTTTCATCAAAGAACATTTCAAATAGGGAATAGCACCGTGGCATAGCAAGTTAATCCTCCACCTGTGGCACCAGTATCCCATATGGGTTTTGTGATCTGGCTGCTCCACTTCTGATCCGGTTCCATGTTTATGCTGTGGGAAAGCAGTGGAGGATGGCTCAAGTCTTTCTATCCATGCATCCAGGTAGGGGACCCAGAAAAAGCTCCTGGCTCCTGCCTTCGTGTTTGGCCATTGCAACAATTTGGGGAATTAACCAACAAATGGAAGACCTTTCTCTCTCTTTCTCACTGTGTGAAATCTCTCAAATAAAAATAAATAAATTTTTTTTAAATGAGAGTTAAGGTATTATTTCAATGATTTTAGCAGCATTGTACAGTAGGTGGAATAATGCAAAACTTGCATGTTTAATAAAAGATTAATAATGACAGCAATTTTACTAGTTCTCTAAAGGATAAGATTTTATTAACAAATTAATCAAATAAATTATAAATGAAATTGAAACTCTTAAATAATTAGAGCTATGAATTTGTGAAGTTATTTTGACTTTAAAATCCCTTTCTCTCAGATTTTTCAGATGATTATTAATCAACCTCAACCTAAGTAAGTCTTCCATGATAATCTCTTATTGTACTGTTTATTTTCTCTTATGGCACAATCTGTAATTACATATGTATTTATGTGATTGTTTCATGCAAGTAGATACTCACTGAGTCTAGTTTTTTAATTGCTAGCTTCTTAGCACCTACCTACCAGTTAAACAGCCCAGAGAAACAGCCTAATGAATGTATAACTTAATATTCCAGAAACTATTTACCTAATGAAATCTAATAGTGATAAGTTCACAGAAAATTCCAACTGAACACAAACAGTGTCCATCATTTGATAATTTACAAAACCACAAAGATTTGCATCTGTGAAAGGTTTCTCCATTTGCACGTTGTATTGAAAGGTTGTGGTATTTTCTGCTTCTGTGGCAGGCAAACAGCTTCCAGGCTCTTCAGTGAGCTGTAGACAGAAGGATTAAAGAAGAGATCAATACAGTCTAGTATATGAATACTAATTTTCTATTTAACTTTATTAATGTATTAACTTGATGTAGTATAAGTTAGCAACAAGCTTCTCTATAACTTCATTTCAGAAAATTTTATAACATAGATAATTAAGAAATAATAGTACACAGGTCAAAATTATTTAACAACTGGTCATACATTTAAAACTTCTTGATTATTTTTCTTTTTAATCTGAATTTTTTTTTCTGTTTTTTTAAGAGTTTTTTTTGTTTATTGGAAAGGCAGGCTTACAGAGAGAATAGATGAAGAAATATCTCTCATCCACTGGTTTGCTCCCCAAAAGGCCACAATGGCCAGAGCTGAGCTGATCCGAAGCCAGGAACCCAGAGCTTCTTTCGGGTCTTCCATGCAAGTGCAGGATTCCAAAGCTTTGGGCCATCCTCCACTGCTGTTCCAGGTCATAGGCAAGGTACTAGATGGGAAGTGAAGAAGCCAGGACATGAACCAGGGTCCGTACAGGATCCCAGTGCTTGCAAGGTTAGGATTTAGCCATTGAACCATCGTGCTGGGTCCTTAAAACTTCTGTATGTATTTTTTAAATGATGATTAAACTCTAGCTAGTGACTCTCAAGCCTGGATGGCAACAGATTTTTGGAGCCAGAAGAGTTTTAATGACAAATGGTATCTTCTATTTGCATTCTTTACTTTTTACTCAAGTTACAGGGCTCAAGTTGAGGCAATCAGATTAGGCTTGGTTTCATTCCACTTTTTAAGTTTCAAAAGTGATTCTAAAGCATATCGGATCAAACTCCTGCCCCAATCAGTGAGCCAAACAATAATTAACACATTCTAGCTCACAGAAGAAACTGGATCAGTTTTGTGGAAGACAGGTATACTGGTAAATCTCATTATCTCCACCAAGGACATGATGATGGAATTAAACATATGCCCAGAATCACAACAGCAGTCTCTTGCAGCAAAGGGAAAAACAGAGTGGATGCCTAAGCAAGCATTAATTGGCTAGAGGAAAAAGCAGACCATCCATACATCTATCTTTCAATAGCCTGTTTTTGGTTTTTTTTTTTTTTTTGGTGCCCACTCGCAACAGCTCAAGAAGCTGTCCTGGAGCCAGTGCAATAGCATAGTGGCTAAAGTCCTCACCTTGCATGTGCCAGGATCCCATATGGATGCCGGTTCTAATCCCGGCAGTCCCACTGCCCATCCAGCTCCCTGCTTATGGCCTGGGAAAGCAGTCAAGGACGGCCCAAAGCCTTGGGACCCTGTACCCACGTGGAAGACCTGGAGGAAGTTCCTGGCTCCTGGCTTCAGATCAGCACAGCACCAGTCATTGCGCTCACTTGGGGAGTGAATCATCAGACAAAAGATCTTCCTCTCTGTCTCTTCTCTCTATATATCTGACTTTGCAATAAAAATAAATAATTTTTTTTAAAAAAAAGAAGCTGTCCTTTTTTATTTCCTCAGACACATCACAAGCTTCTACACAAACAACTAACTGTTCTATTTTTGCTTCAAGACTAAGGGGACATGCACAGACATTTGATCATTCTGTCTGTACTTCAGGGCTAAGCAGGTGCCTCTAAAGGTAATTCTGCAAAAATACTGTATTCATATTAGATAAAAAAAATATGGAATGCTTCACGAATTTGCGTGTCATCCTTGTGCAGGGGCCATGCTAATCTTGTCTGTATCACTTCAATTTTAGTATATGTGCTGCCGAGGCAAGCTCACTTTCAATAGTCTTAACTCCTCAGTGTTCCACTTCGTTCTGCTAAATAACGTGAGAACTTCGTTTCACTATTCATAACAAGAGTAAATGAGAAATTTAAGAGTATAGGAAAAAAAGATCACAAAACGCACACTGAACATAATACAGTAACATTCATAAACTGCTATAAGCTTATTATAGATATTAACTAAATTATGCCTTACAGTAACAGGTCCCTACTATTAACATTCTCATTTTGAATACGAAGAAACTGAGGCACAAAGCTAAAAGTTAAAGAATCTGACCATATAACACAGTAACTTGAAGAAACACAAACCAAAGGCAGGAAATATGAGTAAAAATGGATACGCTTTACTGCACTTTATAAAAACTCACTTTATATCTAGTCTTCTCCAACAAATCTTTATTATGTTCCCTTCTGGTTTTTTTAAAAACAAACAAACAAAAAATCTGTCACACTTTTCATTTGTTTTTATTATAGAAATAAGGAGAAAATGAAAGCAACTTATAAAATCTCAAAAGAATCAGCAACAGAAATGTTAAGAAAATCCATTTAAGGCAGAAATGACAAACCATTCACTGGCTTACCTTGAAATTTTCTGCTGGAAAAATTTCTAAATTAGCACTTTTCAATTCTGAATCACTCTTATTAGTGACTAACCAGACCATCAATAGACAGTCATCTTTCCAAATTTTGCTAGAAGACACTGATACGATTTCATTATTACAGATCTCCGTAGGATCTGAATGCAAGCATTCTGCAGTTTCCCTCAGCAAAGATGCCTCCAAAGAGATTTCCTTGGCAAATGAGGCTGTGGTAGATGGAGAAGGCTGGAAGACTTCCATGTCACTATCAGCAAACAAAGAAGGGGCAGACAGGCTACAATCTGAAAGTTTCTCAACCAAGGGCAGCTCTGTCAGTGACTCAGAAGCCAGAAGTTCTGAGCCAAGAGCAAGCTTCTCTAATTCTTTGTCTCCTCCATCCTGCAAAGTAGTCACATAATCTTCTTCATACATGGCATTTGGCAAAGGACTAAAGGAAGAACAGGTCACATTATGCGCACTGCTTGCTTCTTCACTTTTGGTTTCCTTGACTTTTGATTTCCTTCTGAACTTGTGAGAGACAGTGTCTGCTCTTCCCAACTACAAAAATAAAACACAATGATAGCATAAAAAGAAACAATCCCACTATTCATGATTCTTAAACACTCTTCTTTAATTTCAAATGAGCAACTTACTTGTTAAGGTTCTATCTATCAAGAGCAGAGCAAAATGAATAAAACGTTAAGCCCTGAAATTCTGACAGCCATATTAAGTTTGAACTATTAGCTAACTCTTACTAAAAACACATAAAATCAGGGAAAGAAACAAGGTTAAAAAGTCACTTGTGAAAACTCTAAAAACTTGATAGGTTTTAGAATATTAAAATGCATTAAAAACAGTGAGAAGTCTAGCCATTTTTTTGAGCTTCCAGTTGTGTCCTATAGATATTTAGATTATCCTCAAATACAACCATGCCCCAAACTGTTTCAGCTATCTACAACAGTTTTATTTCATGGTCTATGAATTAATAAGTAGGGAAGAAAAACTGGTTTTACTTCAAAAATTAATCAGCACAAGCTGATGGAATGTGCAGCAGGAAAGAATGCATGACTGGTAATTGTTGTCACAGACTCGGGAGACAAGAAGAGCACATTTGTGACCCTTGATCTAAATTTCTAAGAATTATCTGTGTGTCGTGTTAGAGTAGTGGCACAAGAGATCGCTTTTCCACCAAAAAATCACAAATCAAAGAATCAAGAATTACTGCACCAAATGGCACTCCCCTCGGCCCATGTCTCCATGTGCTCGGGCAACACTGCATGGCCATCCTTCACTTGACTCGACCTAACCAGAATTCTAGTTCCCTTTTCATATCCAGAATTCTAGTTCCTGTTTCACTCCCTCATGCCCACAAAACCTTCGAAAATGTAAGTTTGTTTCTTAACTACCAATTCAGAAGTCATCTAACAAGAACTAACATGTCATGAACCCAAAAACAAAAATAAGGGAAAGGCAGAGAGGAATGGATAAAGAGTTTTCTTTTTTCTGTTTTTCCAGTAGTTACAAGACTGAAATTAGGTAAGTATTAGATTACTTGATACTGTTACTCAGATGATAACTGCTTTGTTTGGGTTTTGTTTTGTTCTATTTTTGTCTTTTCTTTCTCTTTCATTTTGGATAGCTTCTTCTACTTTCTCATCAAGTTTAATAATAATCTCTTCTTTCTTTAAAATTTATTTGTAAGGCAAAGCTATAGAGAAAGAGGGACAGTTTGAGAACAGGATATTCCATCTAAGAGCTCACTCCTCAAACACCTGTAATGACTATGGCTGGGCAAGACTGAAGTCAGGAGCCAGGAACTCTATCCAGGGCTCCCATATAGGTGGTAGGTACCCAAGCAATTAAGCCATCATCCATTGCTTTGCCAGGTGCATTAGCAAGGAGCTACATCAGAAATGAAGCAGTCAGGATTCAAATTGAAGCCCATATAGGATTCTGATATCACAGGTGGTGATTTAAGCCACTTTAGCACAATAAGCTCCAACAATCTTTTCTTCTGCGCTGGCAATCTGCTGTTAACTACAAACTACACAGGCCAAAAGATGTTGCAGTGACAACACTGTTGAAATACAATAAAAGGGAAACATTTAGCCTAATACTTAGGATGCCCACATTTCACCATCATGCCTGGGTTCAAGTCCTGGCTCCAGTGACTGACTTTAGTTTCCTATTAATGCAGACCCTGGAAGGCAGTGATGCTGGCTCAAGTGACTGGATTCCTGCCTCTCTTGCAGCAGACTTCCCAGTCTTGCAGCACTGCATTCCCAGATCCTGGCTCTAAGTCTGGCACAGTCCCAGCCATTGTAGCATCTGAAGAGTGAACCAGTGGATGGGAGCACTTGTGCTCATTCATTCTCCCTCCACCCCAACCTCCTGCCCTCAAAAATAAACAACTAAAGAGCCCGGTGCGATAGCGTAGTGGTTAAGGTCCTTGCCTTAAATGTGCCAGGATCCCATTTGGGCGCCAGTTTTAATCCAGCCAGCCCTGCTTCCCATCCAGCTCCCTGCTTGTGGCCGGGGAAAGCAGTTGAGGACTGTCCCAAGTCTTTGAATCCTGCACCCACATGGGAGAACCGAAAGAAGCTCCTGGCTCCTAGTTTTGGATTGGCTCAGCTCCGGCATTGCGGCCCCTTGGGGAGATCATCGGTCGGAAGATCTTTCTGTCTCTCCTCCTCTGTGTATATCTGACTTTTCAATAAAACTAAATAAGTCTTTAAAAATAAATAAATAAATAAATAAAAAGAAACAGCCTAGCACTTCACCTAGAAAGAATACCTTTGGAAAATGAAGATGAAATATAAAGGTGGAAGATAGGGCTAGTGTTGTGGCAGGGCACATTAAGCAGCCACTAATGACAGCAGCACCCATATCACAGGACCATTTTGAGTCCCAGCTGCACAGATTCAGCTTCTTGCTAATTCACCTGGGAAGGAAGGAGAAGATGGCTCAAGAGATTGGGCCCCTCCCACTCACATGGTACACCAGGAAGGTGCTCCTGGTTCCAGGCTCTAGGCTGACCCAGACCTGATTGTTCCAGGTACTTGGTGAGTGAACCAGCAGATAGAAAATTGCTTTGTCTTTCATTCTTTGTCATTTTGCCTTTCAAAAAAAAAAAAAAAAAAAAAGAGCTAAAGGTGAGAAAAAAACTTAACTTTTACAGTGAATGATATTGCCTACAAGATTGCCTCAAATTGATCAGGGATCTAAAAGTAAAAGCTGGTTAAAATAAAATATCTCAATACAGCCTTGATTTCTGTAGCTGAGAACCTTAAACTTTAAAAATTGACAGGGCACTGAAGTGCTGGAGAAGAAAGGTCCACTGCCCAAGAAGGTGATAGCAGTCATGAACACACAGTAACTTGATCTGAACACCTTGCCCCAGTCAACTAGAACAAAGAGAACATTCTTGTTCCAAGTTGCTTGGAACTTTTTTCTAGTTCAGGAAAATAGTAAGTGTGTCATTCACTAATGTCCTGGAGCTAAGAGATGATAGAAAGTGAAAGCTGGGAAGCCATTTCTCATCAAGTAAATAGATGACAGCTAGGAGCTTTCACTCAATTTTCTGTATAAACAGTAAGAAAAATTATCAGAAGAATTAAACTGATTACTTACCAAGTTGACTGCACTTTCCGATCCTAGTCCAACAAACAAGGATGATGCTAACAGCTGCTTTTCTTTCTCCTCTTTAGACTGGGTAAGGACCTGAGAGTGATCCTTTGTCGTTAGAGTTTGATCTATAGTTTCCATTCCCATGTTCTCTTGAGGAGCAGGTGAAACTTCAGTTTCATCACCAGTTTTATGGTCCTTTTTGGGAAGGTAGCCCTCCTTTCCCCACAATTTCTTTACACCCTCCAGCTTCAAGCCATTTGTTCTAGGAGATTAATGATGAAATCAAGTCAATTTAAACAACTGCTACTTGGCCACTGTGTTGAGGCATTTTTCTAAAATACATCATTATCCTTGGCCTTTTAGAAAAGGGTTTCATGTTAAACTCTGTGTGACAGAAGTAAAGCCGACATCACTAGATTTTATTTTAGTTAAACCAAAGGAGTTAAAGGTAGCAGTTCTCCAGACTTGGGTAAAATTTTCAGGTCATTCATTTTCACTAATTGCTTAAATAGGCTGGACAAAAATAAATCAGTTACTTTCCCTTTTGGTTTTCAAAAATTCCTATCTTTAGTGCTGATGGATTAATGATCAGAAACAACTCAAGTTTTTTAGATACATGAAAAAATTATAACCTTAAACAAATCCACTAAGTAAAATCCTGCTGAAGGCAAAACATGACTCAAGCATATTATGTGTAAATAAGTTTTAATAAGTTTATATGTATATCTTACACAGAGTGAAGAATTTTGAAAAGGGGGGAAAGTTACCTAATAAACCTCTTAGAAGAAAATAGGTTGTTCCTGCTATGGGTAGATCTCAACGTAGTCATGGGTATTACTAAAAGAGCCCCTAGCATCTTTACGATGTTCTAAAGTAGTACTTATAAGGAACTTGTGAAATTCACACTAGAATTACAATGTATGTGTACTCCCTTCAAATCAAAAGTTTCATTAGTTGTAAGTCTCCAAGTTTAATTAATAAATGATTCAAATGCTAGTTTAACAAAAACAGCAATTCTGATGGACTGAGTTGCCCCACCCAGAACCCCCTAACTGAAGGACCACCCCTTTGTTGGGAATGCTGCCAGTCTAAGTCTCTGTATCCAAGCAGTCTACACCCAATGACTGATGAGTACCAAGATCCCGGTCACCTGTCGTGGCCTAACTCAGGGTAACTCCAGAGCTCCCTGTGAGGTCAGCAGAGGTTTCTTGTCGGTACTGCACTGCCTCATCTTCTTCCTCTTGGCTTGGATCCTAAGGATACCCCTTAATATTCTGTTCATTAAAGCCATTACGGAATGTACTTCCCAAGGAACTAATCTTCAACAACAAAAAATGCGGAGAAGGGAGACAGAAGGAAGCTAAAAGTAGCCTCAAACTTTCAAAATACTTCTTTCACTCTTACTGCATCTTCATATACACCTATCATCAACTGTATTATCTCCCCTGAACCATACATGTTTGGAAAAGTGGGAGAAGACATAAAAGAACAGCATAAACCCATTTCATCTCAAAATCTGTCTCTTCATAATAAACATACTGTAATTTTTTAAAAACATGATTCATATCTGGCTTTTGACAGCACTGTTATATAACACATGGTTTTATATGGTATGTCTTTGTACTATTTTTAATAAGGTCATTCAAACACAAACAAATTCTGGCAAAGTAACATTTAAAAAATGAGGAGTGCTCTTGGGGCCTGGCACAATGGGTCAGTGGCTAAATTCTTGCCTTACACACTGGAATCCCATATGGGTGCAAGGTCATGTACTGGATGCTCTACTTCTCATCCAGTTCCCTGCTTGTTGCCTGGGAAAGCACTGGTGGATGGCCCAAAGCCTTCGGACCATTCACCCATGTGGGAGACCTGAAGAAACTCCTGGCTTCAGATTGGTTCAGCTCTGGCCACATTGGCCACTTGGGGAAAGAACCAGTGGATGGAAGATATTTCTCTTTGTAAATCTGCCTTTCCAATAAAAATAAATAAATAAATAAATCTTAAAAAAAATTAGGAGTGTTTTTTAATTTACCTCTAAGAATTCCCATTTGAGGTAGAATGCTGCTCAGTAATAGAGTTTATAGGTAAGAAATCCTATATCGCACATACAACTCCTCCTTAATCCACCAGAAACTTCCTAAATTAGTTCACCTTGCCAAATGCCACAGATTGTTAATGTAAAATGATGTATGAGTTGTGGTCCTTTCTGGAAAGACATTTAAGATGTCTTCCTCACATTCCATTTTACAATACCACAGTATCTGGAATCCCTTGCATGTTGCCAAATGCCTTTTCTGAGGGTGGCACAGGATTTACTCAGTCCTGTCACATCCCCTGGATCTTAATTCAGTACTAACATAGCAGATACTGCCATCAATTGTGCAAATAAAAGGAGCAGCATAAGTTTCTCCTCAGGTTGGGAGGCTCTATCTACCCTTCCCTTGCCACTCTGTGCCCTATTTAGGGCACTTAGTTGCTGTCACTTCCACAATCACAAACCCACAAACCTATATATGCTTCCTATGCTTTCAGGAACAAAACTGAAAGTCAGGGAAATAAAACAAGAGTGTTAACAGAACACACACACAAAAGGATTTTAAAAATTGCAATTTAGGCCTTTTCATTCAGCATATCATTCCACATCGAACACAATCTGTACATGCCATTCTTGTGATAATTTCTATGATCACACCTTACTGGAAAAATGACAAATGATAAACATAAAATAGTGATAACTTCTTAATACATGAGAACTCCAAATACAAACACCAGACGTCAAAGTTGTGACCTCTGAGATTTCATGTGCTAATTCTAATAATGCTGCCATTACTTGAAACATTTTAAAGCTTTTATATAAAGCTCCTTCACAAACAAGAAGGCCTTTTTGTTTTTTAACTTTATTGTCACATTAGTACATTGACCAAAAATATTCAGGTTGATCACTAATGTCATCTGTTAAGCATAACTTTTGGATGAGGGTTGGGAGATTTTTTCCTCAAAGGGCCATTTGGGTATTTGTAACATCAACTGCCAGCTATACAAATTTGTCGACTTAGAAATTAGCCTGCTAAAGCTTAGTTGAATTTTCAGTTCCACATGTGGTTGCCTTGGTAGTGCCCAACCAAATGATTTCAAGAGCCTTATATAGCCCACAGGCCAAAGGTTCCCCATCGTTATAGATGATAATAAACGATGGCAAGGACAGCTGTTAATTATTAGCAGCTACTATTTCATAATCATTTACTATGCATTGAATTGTAATTTGCACTTGTTGTCCTTTTCTAAAATTTAATCATGCTTCTAAAATTTAATCCTGTTTCTAAAATAAAAATCAACCTTAACAAGAAATGTGGCTCCGAGAAAGATACTTAAACAAATGTACTGCTGATTTTCAAACTGGAAAGAAAAAAACTCTGAAAAAATTTTGAGCAAACTGTATATTTTCTTCAGCTGAATATATAGCCTCTTCAAGAGACCCTAAGTTTTCTCAGGTGAAGTCATTCAACTTACATTATGCTCATCTCTATCCGAAAAATCTTCCAATGAAATCATTGTAAGAAGTCTTAATAAAAAATTAATTAATAATTAATCACCACAAATACATTATGAGGAATGTATAATGCTATATCGAATTAAGTTATTTTTTAAATATATATATAGTTACTTGTTTGCTTAATAACGCAATGGAGAGAAAGAGGAAGGACAGACAAATAAATCTTCCATCCCTGATTCACTGCCCAGTGGCTACAATAGCCAGGTTTGTGCCAGGGTGAAGTCAGGAGCTTGGGAACTCCATCCATATCTCTTATATGGACGGGAGAGACCCAAGTATTTGGACCATGGTCAGCTGCCTTCTCAGGCACATTAGCAGGAAGTTAGATCAGAAATGCAGCATCTGGAACTTGAACTGGTGCTTCAAAATGGGATGTTGCTGTCCCAGATGGCAGCTTAACATACTATGCCACAACCCCAGGTCCATATCAAACATAAATTGATATGTGTCCTTAAAAGGCACACCACGCAGCAATAAAACACATATACTAATGTATGCAAGACTTGTACACCTCTTATGATGTCTTGGAAGACAGAATATAAAGAAACACTGTACAGTTTCAATGGAAAGCAATAAATAGAAACTAAAAAACAATGCATACATAACTCAGCTTTTTGAAATCCTTATGAATTATTAAACTAAAAAGTATTGCCACAAATGTTTCTAGGCCTTTGAATTATATGAAGACTACGAAACGATAAATTTCTTGCAAGCTACCCTAAGACAATCAAATAAAGATTATGCTGGTAAAAAGCAGAAGGTAAATGCGATGCTTAAAGATATTTAAATACTCGTGTATTTCCTCAACATTAAAAAGAAACTTACTCTTTCAGCCCTGTCTCAGCACTATTTGCAGACGCATCCGAACCAAGTGAAATGCCAGCAGGAGACTGTCGTCCAGTGAAACCAGATGAGGAAAATGAGAGTCCGTAGGGTTCAAAATTGAGACCTAGAATGTGAAACCAATCGCAGAGGTTCATATTCTCAAAAAGCAGGAACTATCAGTTACCCTTCCCTCCTGAAATAATCCAAGCCAGGAATCCAGGGAGGCACTTTCAGTGGTGATCTAATCCATCAGGACGATAATTTCTTATTTGTTGAAGGTCTACTGTAAGTCTTTATATTACTAGGTTATCAAAGACAAATTTTTTGAAAGATTTATTCATTTTTATGGGAAAGGCAGATTTACAGAGAGAAGAAGAGACAGAGAAAGAAAGATCTTCCAACCGCTGGTTCAGTCCTCAACTCCCCAAGTGGCCACAACAGCCAGAGCTGAGCTGATCTAAAGCCAGGAGCCAGAAGCCTCCTCTAGGTCTCCCAGGTAGGTTCAGGGTCCCAACTCTTTGGGCCACCCCTCCCAGGCCACAAGCAAGGAGCTGATGGGCAGTAGAGCAGCTGGAACATGAACTAGCCAGGTGGATTAGCCAGATAAACTAATGAGGTTGAGGATTAGCCAGCTGAGTCATCATACCAGCCCCCAAAACTTTTGTCATTTTATTCCCTTAGATGCTACTAAAAAGTTACTATTCTTACATATATAAGAACATTTAATGAGCTAGCAAAGAAATGACACAGCTTTTTATCTGTCTTAAAAAAAAGTATTTGGAAGTCACAGCTACAGAGAAGGAAAGCCAGAGTGATATTCTAGCCTATGGCTCACTTCCTAAATGGCCTCAATAGTCAGAGCTGGGCAGAACTGAGCCAGGAGTTTCTTCTGGGTCTTACATGGGTGACAGAAGCTCAAGCATTTGTACTCATGTAGAATGCTGGAGTCCCAGGAAGCGCTTAACCTAATTTGCCACAATACTGCCCCTATCCTTTCCTTTTAACTAATGCAACATTTAAGTCTTAGCTAGGTATAGGCCAGCCAGAAGAGACATTTCTTTTCTTTTTAAAAAGATTTATTTATTTTTATTGAAAAGTCAGATATACAGAGAGGAGAGACAGAGAGGAAGATCTTCTGTCCATTGATTCACTCCCCAAGTGACTGAAACAGCCAGAGATGTGCCAATCCAAAGCCAGGAGCCCGGAGCTTCCTCCAGGTCTCCCACGTGGGTGCAGGGTCCCAAAGCTTTCGGTCATTCTCAACTGCTTTCCTAGGCCACAAGCAGGGAGCTGGATGGGAGGCAGGCTGGCTGGATTAAAACTGGTGCCCATATGGGATCCCAGTGTGTGCAAGGAGAGGACTTTAGCCACTAGGCTACCATGCCGGGCCCCAGAAGAGATATTTCTAGACTTCTTTGCCACATGACCTAGATTGGGAGCTGGAAATAACGCACTATTCTATATGTGACTTCTGGAAGTGGTCCTCCTGCAGATAAGCAATCTATCTTCCTCGTCCTGCTGACTAGCTGGCACCATGATTGTTGGAATATAAGCAGCCATCTAGGTCAAGTGGAATGTCATACATGCCAGGGAGGTGAAGCATGGGCTCTTTATAAGTATGAATCTATCACCAACCTTGGGACCTTGGGCTGCCTGTATGCAGATCCCTTTAATGAGAGAGAGCAATAATGCCATTTAATTTGCAAGAGGCCCTACTTTGTTTATTTTAATATGCTAATTAGCTAAACCTAATCCTAATGGGCAGATTGATCTTGGATTGTCAAGCTTTTAACAAAAAGGACCTTCTTAAATCATATTCACACCTTGGAAAATATAAATGTTGGAGCTGGGACCATAACATGTAGGCTGAACTTCTGCCTGTGGCACCAGCGTGCTATATGAGCACATGAACACCAGTTCAAGTCCTGGATGCTCCATTTCCGAATCATCTCTCTGCTTACAGCCTGCGGAGCAAGATGGCCAAAGTGCTTGGCCCTCTGCACCCACATGGGGACCTAGACGAAGCCCGGGCACTGCAAGGCACCTGTGGAGTGAACCAGCAGATGGAAGATCTATGTCTCTCCTTTTCTCTTTAAAAAAAAAAAAAAATCTCAAAAAAATAAAAAAGGAAAAATAAAACACATATGCTAACTTTCACAATTATCCACATTTTACAAATGAGGAAGAGTTTGCCATAGGGGTCAGCACTACAGCATCACAGGTAAGCCATCACTTGAGACACTGGTGTCCTATATGGGTGCCAGTTCACGTATCCATGCTCCATTTTCACTCTAGCTCCCTGCTAATGGCCTGGGAAAAGCAGCAGAGATGGATCAAGTAGTTGAGCCACTGCCATTCACATAGGGGACCTGGATGAAGCTCCGGGTTTTGGTTTGGCTCATCCAGGGCCATTGTGACCACCTGAAGTGTGAAATAACAAATGGAAGATCTCTGTCTCTCCCTTTTTTTATATAATTCTTTCAAATAAACAATCTTAAAAATAGAAAAGGTATGTGACAAATTTACAGATTACAAATACAGGAAATGAAAGAGCCAAATACAAACTCACATATCCATCTCTTGCTAGAAATACTAGGGTATGGGTAACTAGATACAAACTCAGGAAAGTAAAATTTACTTCTGCAGAGGGGGTGGAGTGGACCACCACAAAGAGGTCTGGCAGGCAAGCACATTGGGCAGGTGGTCCACTCCGGCTTTATTCCTAACACAGCTTAACTCTTCCACCCTACACCACAGGCTCCTTGGAAGCTGGGGAGGGCTACAGCTGTGTTGGGTTGCCTAGGGCACTATACACATTATGACCGGGAGACCAAGGACAAAGGGAGATGTTTAGTTACAACATAAGCATCAGGGTCTGCATTCCTGTCCGTATATTTTTTGGTGCGTACTTTGCGGTTCAAAACAGCTGTACTTTTAGTACGTGGTTTTAAATCCAAAATGGTTTCCTCCTGATCTTGGGACATCATAAAATTTAAATCCTGGATTTCAGGGAAGATATTTTTGTCACCTATTGGAAAACTCAGATTACTGGTTTAATTTTGCCAAAAAAGAGAACATGAATCTTATATTCAAGAATTATACTCCCAACAAATGCATTCTACTGCCTCCTCCAAAGAAAACAGCGTCAAGACTATTACACAAATGCTCCTTAGCTAAACGAATGACACGACACATCAGTATGCAGAAAAAAATACTACTACTAATAATAATTATCAGGAGGATTGAGTTGTAGCCATTTATTTCTTTGCCTGCAAAATGAAAAGTTCAGGCAAGATCAACAGTTTCTAAGTGCTGACCTATCAAGATTAGGCGGACTGAATAGATTTTCCCAAAACTCTTTTCACAAGTACAAGCAAGTTCTCCGAGATTTAGATACAAAGGTAAGGGTTCAAAATTGGATCCTTTAAAAAAAAAAAAAAAAAAACACCATGATTCTAATTCACTAATAATTTGGAAGCCACATGTCTAATCTATCTCATTCTAGCTTTTCCATCTAGTTTAATCTATTCAATATTATCCTATTTTTAACAGAATCTATTATATGTACCATGTACTGTACTTCTGATGTATTATTGAAGAGCAGGAAGAAGTTCAAAATTAGATATACAGAGTTTTGAGAATACTGAGAACAAAACTAGACACAAAAGGAGCTATTTGGAGAGCAAAAAAAATTTCATTCTGAGATGAATGAAAAATCAATACTCAAGTTTGAGAATGAAGTTCAAACCATATTATTCATTCTTTAGAGAAAATTTCCCAGGGTCCACAATAATGAATGACTAAATGAGTCAAAGGCTGTGAGGTAGTAACTAGATGTGCAAGAGCTTAACTGCATGTAAAAAGAGACAGGAAAAGGGAGCTCAATTCCAAGTGAATTAATGTGTAGAAGCTAACCTGATGAAGAGTGAGGACAAAGGGTAACTCATGCCAAAGAGAAAGCCATGAGCTGGAAGTGGAAAGAATTCTTTCAGGTGAAAGTCACTGAATTAATGCAAGATGCTGAACTATAAACTTTTTATACCTTTTGTTACCTATAGAGGCCTGAACTATATATACATTCCTTTATTCTAACACAGCAATTCTTTTATATAATGGTCATTTGTCTTTACCTCTCTAACCATCTTTAGTGGTTATCATTAAATTTCTATTATTTTAATTGCAGTTTTTGAGAGATTAACAACCTCAACATGACATGGCTTTCTACAAAGCATAATTCTGCAGGCAGATTAGGCTGCTTTCTCCCTTACTACTTCCGTTGTTATTCAACATGAGTGCTAAAATACCAGAGTAATGATTTAGTACATAATCCACGCTGATTGTTAAATGTTTTTTCAGGTGGGAGCTGGTAATACAGCTCATTCCCATTACTCTGTCTTTGCCAACTGTGTATTTTATAGTACATTCCTCAAGTTTATTATTCTATTTTTCTACCCAAAAAAACTAAGTATCAATTATTAAAGTAACATTTAACCACTAATCTCTGAAAATGAAAAAACCTTAAATAACACCAGTATCAGACTGATTGATACTGAAGGCTTCCAGAATTAACAATTCTTTATAAAAAAAAAAAAAATTCTTTATGGAGAAAATGCCACATACACTCTATTTTTGTCTTACAGCTAGTTCAGCTCTGAAATGTAATTTTATACATTTTCCGCAAGTATTTATTAAATACCTGCTATGTTCTATCTCATGGTCAATTTTCTTTTCTATGACAGTCTAAGCACATGAAATTTCAGTTTTGCTTTAAAGAATTTTTGAAAAATAGATTTGAAAGGAGAGAGAAAGAGCCTAATTTGGGAACTTAATCCATTTATAATAATGGTCCTATCAGGAAAAATTGTACTTGGCAGAACACTGCATTAGCATGGGGAATTCAGAGCTATTATATTTGCATCTGCCATTTTAACTTATTTTAAGAAAGAAAACAGGCATTGTCAAGAATCAGGCACCCTATGCAACCACTCCTTTCTTCCTCCACTCCTTTCTGGCAACTGCTGGTCCCTAGATATTTGAAAATAAGGAAATTGGCAGTTGGACCATATCTCCCAGTGTGGAATTCCATGAGACTGTCACTCCATACCCTGGATGTCCAAGACTTTTATATGAAGCATAGGGACAGGAAGTTGTAATTCAAAACTTTACTTTTCTCTCTCAACATATTCTATCAATATATAATGTTAATGGAAAGAAAACTGATTAATCCTTCAAAAGAGATCTGAATTTTCAAGGTCACTAGGTATGACTATGCTAACAAATCATCCAAAGCTTTACAAGATGAGAATCATAATGAATCTGTAAGTTGCTTTGGGACGTATGGACATCTGAACAGTATGAGCCTTCCAATTCATGAACAAGGGATGTCTCTCCATTTATTTATTTGTCTCACTTGATTTCTTTCACCAGTGTTTTGTTGTTTTCAGTATATAAGTTTATTTTCTTAATTTATTTCTAAGTGTCTTCTCTTTTTGATGCTACTGTAATCAAGACTGTTTTCCTAATTTCCTCTTCCAATAGTTCACTGTTAGTGTATAGAAACACAATTTTTGTATGTTGATTTTTATATCCATAAATGACTGAATTTTTATTAGTTCTTAAGAGACTTCTACAGGTAGTATCATGCTGACTGCAAGCCAGGCCACCTTGCTTCTACTCAGGATGCTTATTCTTTGTTCTTGCTGAAATGCTCTGGCTAGCACTCACAGAATGACACATGCCTTAATTTCTGACCTGAGAAGAAAAGCTTCCAGTCCTTTACTCTGACCATTCTTATGTTAAGGTCCAAGTTTATTAAGAGTTTCCATCATGGAAAGATAAATTTTGTCAAATGCTTTTTGTGCATCAACTTAGAAACTCCAATGGTTTTATACTTTATAATGTGAATACATACGTTATTTTTCATATGCTGAATCAGCACCATATCCTAAGGATAAATCCTACATGATATAGGAGCCTTTTAATGTGCTGTTGAATTCAACTGGCTAGTATTTTGTTGAAGACTGTTGTACCTGTGTTGGCTGGAAATATTAATCTGTAGTTTTTTTTTTTTTTTAAGTGTAATCTTCTGACTTTTTAGCAAACACCAACGCTGCTCTCATAAGGTAATCTTGGAAGGCCTCTCTCCAGATTTTCCTAAGTTTAAGAAAGACTACTATTAATGCTTCTTCAAAAATTTGACAGATGTGTTCTACCTAAGAGTGACAGAGTTTGATTCTCAGCTCCACGTTCTGCTTAATACAGAGTGTGGTAGGCAATGGTGATGGTTCAAGTAACTGGTTCCTGCCATGCCTGTGGAATTCCTGGATTATAGTCTCAGTTCCTCGTTCGAGGGCCCCACTTCAGCCATGAGAGTCAATTAGTGAGTGAATCAGTCATTGGGTTCATTCATGTTCTCTCTCCTCCCTCCATCACCCCTCGTGTTCATGTGTGTGTGTGTGTCTGTGTGTATGTCTGTTTCTCTCTCAAATACATTAAAAAACAGTATTTAAAATTCCCAAGATATTTAAGACCTACTTATAAGAAATTTATAATCTAATTAAGACCTAATGCTTAGAATTTATGCTAAGGGGCCCGGCACAATAGTGTAGTGGTTGAAGTCCTCGCCTTGCATGCGCAGGGATCCCATATGGGCACTGGTTTTAATCCTGATAGCCCCGCTTCCCATCCAGCTCCCTGCTTGTGGCCTGGGAAAGCAGTCAAGGACAGCCCAAAGCCTTAGGACCCTGCACCCATGTGGGAGACCTGGAAGAGCTCTGGGCTTCTGGCTTTGGATTGGCTCAGCTCCAGCCATTGTGGCCACATGGAAAGTGAATCATCGGATGGAAGATCTTCCTCTCTCTTCCTCTCTGTATATATACCTTTCCAATAAAAATAAACAAATCTTTAAAAAAGAGAATTTATGCTAAGAACCAATGCTAAGAGCTTAAACTTTTCTCCAAAGACATACAAATGCTCAATATGACTAATCAATAAGGAAATGCAAATCAAAACCACAACGACATTACCAACTTACAACTGTCAGGACAACTGCTATCAAAAAAAAGCAATGGACAGTAAGTGTTGGCAAATATGTGAAGAATCCTTATGCATTGCTAATGGAAATGCAAATGGTACAGTCACTACAGAAAACAGTATGGAAGTTCCCCCCCAAAACAGAAATACAATATGGGGGCCAGGAGTATGGTACGGAGGCTAAGCCACCACCTGCGATGCTGCCATCCCACATGGGTGTTAGTTTGAACAATATCTACTCTCTGCTAAAGCAGAGGAAAATGGTCCAAGCCCTTGCACTTCCCACACCCACGTGGGAGACCTAAATGAAGCTTCTAGCTCCTGGCATGGCTGAGCATTAGCCTTGTGGGTATTTGAGAAGTAACCAGCAAAAGGAAGATCTCTCTCTGTCTCTCTTTCGCTCTCTTTCTCTCTCCCCTTCTAATTCTGCCTCTCAAACAAATAAGTAGATCTTTAAAAAGAGAGAGAGAAAGAAATATCACATTATTCAGCAATCCCACTTTCAGGCATTTACCAAAAAATGCTGAAATCAGGAGTACAGATTTATCAGCCCACCTTTTTTCCTTGCAGCACTATTCACACTAGCCAAGATGAACAAACAACTATCAAACAACTGATGAATGAACACTGAGCCTTAAAAAGAAATTCTGCAGTCAGTATGTGACTATATGGATGAATGTGGGGCTACCATGCTGAAATGAGCCGATCAGAGAAAGACAAACACTTCATGATTCCACTGTCATGGGACATCTAAAACTTGTCAAATTCATAGAAGCAAAGAGTGGAATGGTGGTTTACAAATTCTAAAGTCAGAGAGAAGTGAGTAAATAATCAGCAAGCACAGATTTACAATTAAAAAAAAGAAGAACAAGCATTAAAAATGTGCTGTATAGGGCCCAGCAGCGTGGCCTAAAGGCTAAAGTCCTCGCCTTGAACACGCCAGGATCCCACATGGGCGCCGGTTCTAATCCCAGCAGCTCCACTTCCCATCCAGCTCCCTGCTTGTGGCCTGAGAATGCAGTCAAGGACAGCCCAAAGCTTTGGGACCCTGCACCTGTGTGGGAGACCCGGAAGAAGTTCCTGGATCCTGGCCTCGGATCGGTACAGCACCGGCCATTGCGCGCACTTGAGGAGTGAATCATCATTGGACAGAAGATCTTCCTCTATATATCTGACTTTCCAATAAATAAATAAATCTTTAAAAAAAATGTGCTGTATAACACTGTAAATATAAATATATACAGTAAACATATTGCAACTAAGACAAAACATAAAAAAATTAAAAATAAAACCTATTTACTTCCACAAAATGATTAATATCAAACCTATTACTAGTGTTTTTTTTTTTTTTTTACCTTTTTGGTAATCATTTTTGGAACAACTGCCTAGTTGTACTCATAAATATGTCTAGCACATAGCCTAGAAAATACTAAGTGCATGGGCAGGTGTCTGGCATGCAGTGGAGACACTGCCTGGGCTGCCTGCACCTCCTATCTCAGCACCAGGGTCCGAGACTGACCTCCAGCTTCTGATCCCAAGCGAATCTGGATCCTGGGAAGCAGCAATGATGGCCCAAGCAATTGGGTTCTTGCCTCCCTTGTGGGAGACCCGGATGCAGGGGCCACTGCAGGTGTTTGAATATTGAACCCATGGATAGGACTGCTTTGTTTCTCTGCCTCTCTCAAAAAAAAATTAAAAAAAAAAGACCACTCAACAAAATCATTAAATGTCAAATCTTAAAAAGATCATTAGCATCTTACCTGTCAGCATAAACATTCTGTCCCCTTTATTCACGTGTATTTCCCTGACACTATCTGATTAATTCAGTGTTTTTAACCCTTACCAAGATCAAAAGATGTCCCTCCCTGACAAGCTAGTTTTTAAGTTATTATTTCTTAACTTCACTGATCAGATATGAAGGAAGCATCCTAATACACTTAAAAAATACAAGACTGCACAAAACAAAAATGAAATTCACTAGTTCAGAGTCATCAGGGATTTTTCCAGGAAATGTTCCACAGATATGCTCACAGGGGTAATGTCAGCCTTCCAACAGTGATCAGCATGATAATTCCACCTTCCAGTTCTTTTAAAACTCCAGGATCAGGTGGCAAGTGGTGCAGCATAGAGGATGAAGCTGCTGTCTATAACACCAGTATCCCTTATGGCCAGTTCCAGTCCTGGCCACTCCTCTTCTGATTCAGCTCCCTGCTAACAGCCTTGGAAAAGCAGTGGAAGATGGCCCAAGTGTCTGAACCCCAGCCATCAACATGTGAAATCCAGAAGAAGCTCATGACTTAGGCGTGGCCCAACATTAGCCTTGCAATCATCTGAGGTGTAAACCAGGGAACAAAAGATTCTCTCTCTCAAATAAATGAATCCTTAAAAAAAAAAAAAAAGCGCGGGTGGGGGTTGATGTGCCACAGCATAGTAGACTAAGTTTCTTTCTGCAAGCATCAGCACACCATATGGGTGCTGGTTAGAATCCCTTCTACTGCACTTGCAATCCAGTTCCCTGCTTATGGCCTGGAAAAGCAGCAAAGGATGGCTTAAGTCCTCTGGCTGCTGCATCCATGTGGCAGATCCAGAGGAGACTCCTGACTCCTGGCTTTGGGCTGGTTCAGCTCCAGTCATTGCAACCACTTGGGAAGTGAACCGATGGATGGAAAAATCTCTCTCTCTTTCCTCACTCTTTCTATTCATCTCTGCAACTCTGTCCTTCAAGAAACAACCAACAACCAACCAAAAAACAAAACTCCAGAATGGCTATCATAGCTAAAGTACCCGTGTTCCTAGAGCCTATGGCTTTAATCCTACCTCTAGGAGAGATATGCTTTCCGAGTACCTGAAAACCTAGTCATGCTCAATAAATCACAAGTAAATTTAAATAAGGGTAATAAAAAAAAAAACTTCAGCTTTTTACTTACATGACTATAAAGTCAATTGTATAAAAAAATTATGTCCCTACAATCTAGCTCACTATGAATCATTTGAAAAAAAAAATTACCTTTCTCTTGAGAAAGCTTTTCCTCCTGGCGTTGATGATGAGGTTTGTAAGGTGCTGCTCCCTGACTGAGTCCTTCAGCCACAAAACCATCCAGGAAAGATAAAGAAGCATCTACCTATATTAAAATCAAGCAATAGTCATTTATTATCAATATTCTCAATAGTAAATAGTAAATTCACACAAATAATTTCAACTCAAATGCTCTACATAATTTTTTGAGGGGAAAAACAGTAACTTCAACCCTGAAAAAGCAAAATATTATGCAACTCTGTAGCTTTCTGAAGTATCTATAGTCAGATCATTGAACTAAGAATGTAAGAATGTAACAGTAAGTTCCTGAATTATTACATACAGATAGAAATTATCAATAAATATAAACATAAATCTCTTTATAATTCACAGAGACTCTTCTGTTCATGCCTACGGAAAATCAGTACTGAATGGAAGTTCTCACTTCATTGCAGAACACATTTTGGAACATCTAATGTTAGGGTATCATATCAGCTTGTTATGATTGAGACAAAGGAAGACACAGTTCCCACCTTCAGGAATCTATGACCTACCAGAAGAAAAAGACATGTTCTATGCACCAGTTTTCTGTTGCTGGTGGCTAAAACCAAAGTGTTAGTAGAGAAAGTTTTGTTTCAGCTTCTATGACTGCTTCCTTTGTTTGTGGCCACACCATTCCAATCTCCAATGCCTCTCCTCTGTTCTCCTATCTCACTCTCACAAGAATGTTTATCATTGTCATGATGATCTAGTCAGCTAGGATAATCTCCCTCATGAAATATTTAACTTTAACCCACCTACAAAGTTCCTTATCAAAAAAAACATATGCACAGATTCCAGGGCTCGAGATGTGGACATTTCTGAGGGTTCCCAGAATGAGTTCAATCATCTTATTTCCTTCTATCTAAAAAAATTGGATAAGAAGTTGCTTAACTTCACCAGAAACGGAAATGTGTAAGATAATGCTTATGTGAAAAAAATTCTAAAGATGTAGAAAAAGTAAAGGGAAAAGGAGAAGAGAAAAATGACAATACATATGAGGATACAGCGGTCATGACCTCAGAAATCTCCTGACTTAGTCAAGCATTTGCAAACTGCTCAGATAACTTAAAACACCAGGAAATTCTCAAACACATCCTGAATTTGTAAAGGTTTTGCTTCAGTAAGATTCTTTTTGTTTTTTTCAATAAGAATTTTAAGATGGAGATAGTTCACTATTATCTTTTACTGGCTGCACAGGAAAGGGAAGCACAGTCACTCCCTAATGAAATACGGCGTATAGCAAGTGTCCTCGTTATTTCCATGAATATTTCTAAAATGCCTAGAAACACTAAAGAAAGACCACTACCTTTCAGGAGCTATTAAAAGAACTAAGAAACAAATGTTCAAAATGAATACTACACATAAAAACCTGAGTCAAACTAAAGAGGAATACTTCCATGCTCCTTTCATAGTTATGTGACATCTACCAAATAAAAATCACAACACGCCTGTCTTGTCTTCAGAAGTCTGCTCATCTATACCAACCTAAGGGAGAGGGTGATATGAATTAAGAGGATGAGTGGTAACAGAACTCCTGCTTGAAAGGATGGTGCTTAAACACAGATGGGAAAAGGAAAACTAGGAGATCAGGTTCCAAAGTATCCCTGCTTATGGCCTGGGAAATAGCAGAGGAATGCTTCAAACCCTGTACCTGTGGGAGACCTGAAAGAAAACCCTGGCTCCCAGCTTCAGTACAGCTCAGCTTTGGCCATTTAGGGAGTAAAGCAGCAGAAATAAGACCTCACTTTGCCTCTGTAAAAATTTTCAAATTAAAAGCTATTGCATCCTGAAAGAGATTGTCACCAGCTTTGTTCACAGCACTTCCCAGAGAAGACTCTTCCACTTCCGCCTGTTGAGAATCAGTACTGATATGAAGTTCTCAAATTCTCTCTTTCTCATTAGGTGAGAAAAGCTCCAACTCTTCTCCTAAATGCCACAGAAACTACATACATTTTGTGTGTAAACTAACACATCACAAATGCAAGAATTACTATGTTTAAAGACAATACAACTTTAAAAAGATGGAGCACAGATGTCTCACCATCATGTCTTCACAACTCTTATCAACTGGAAGCAGGCTCTTCATGAGTTCCATGTTCTTATGTAAATATTTTAACTCAAATGCATGTTGTCTCATACAGGTATCCAAAGATGTGGTAAATTCTTGGATTAATTTCTCAACTATATTTGAAGAATGTATCTGGGAAGTCAATTTAGTTACAGCAGCAATTAACCAGGCTTTTGTTTCCGAAGAAATGGAGTCATTCATAAGTAATTTGTAGAGTTTGGTTATAACTTCCTCCACCATTTCCTTATCTAAGAGGTAGGAATACTCGCCTAACACCTATTAGAAAAAAGGAAAGATGTTCACACACCAAATACCAAGCTATACAATAAAGTGCACTCAAAAATGCCTACTTCAAAAGTGAACTTAATCTATATCAAACATATTTTCATGTATAAGAAATTACCCATTATACACTTATATCTTAAATTGTCAAAATTATACCAAGAATATTCAATACAAAAAACAAAACTGAATACAAAAAGGTTTTCCTTACCTTGTCAGTAATAACATATAAAACAGCACACACGAATAAGCTAGTTTTCTTCTGATTTTCTAAAGGTAGTTTGTGTTATTTAAAATCTTTACAATTTGTATTAACATATTTGTACACATATATGACTACATTTTATATTCAATACATTGCACACAGCATAAGCCAATCAAGCCAGGTAACTTTTTATTTCTTTATCTTTTCTATGTGTTTGGAGTCTATACCTCCTCACTTCCAGTTCTATAGAACATTCAATTCAGTCACCCCATCATATTATGGAACATGGAGTCTGCTACTTCTAACTGCTCTGGTTCCCATTATTCTGTTTCCCTCTATTCTCCTATCCTTTATTCTTCCCAGTCTCTAGAAATCACTATTCAAAATCCAGATCTATTCTGTTTTAACTTTCACAGGTCAACACATTCCAATTCTAATATTCCACTGTGTGTGTGTGTGTGTGTGTGTGTATACCTTGGTATTCATTCATCCATTGACAGGTATATGGGCTAATTGCTTACCTTGGCTGTGGTGACATGCTGTGCTCTAAGCACAGATATCTCTTTGATAGGCTGATTTTCTTTCTCTTGGATATATCCAGAAGCAGAACTTCCGATTCATACAAGAGATCTGACTCCACATTGTTCTCCATAAAGGCTATCCTGCCTTCCATTCTCACCAACAGCACAGAAAAATTCCCTTTTGTCAACAGCTCATTGATATTTGTTACTTTTTTGATAACGATAATTCTGTTATCTATTATCATTTCTAACTGGAGATGATATTTTTCTGTGGTTTGGTTTGCACTTCTCTTTTGACTAATGATTTTTTTTTTTTGTTAGTCAACTATATTTCCTTTTTTTGAAAAATGGGTCGTTAGACCTTTTGTCAGTTTCTTCACTAAATTGTTTCCTGTGGTTTTTGAGTTGAGTTCCTCATATATTTTGGATACTTCTATGTTAGATGAATAGTTCGCAAATAGTTTCTCCCATTTTGTAAGCTGTCTCTTCACTTGACTGTTTCCTCTGTTGGGCAGAAGCTTTTTGGATTTAATCCCAGTTATCCATTTTTAGTTTTGTTGCGTATACTTTGAGGGTTTTGTCCAAAAACTATTCCTGTACATCTCTTAAAGAGTTTCCCCTGTTTTCTTTCTTTCTTTTTTTTTTTTTTTGTTTATTCTTTATTTATTTTTAACTTACTCATTGAAAGGGTAAAGAGGAAGAGAAGCAAAGTATGGGGATGGGGTCTCCCATCCACTGGTTCACTCCCTAAATGGTCTTAAATGGCCAGAGCTGAGCCAGGCTAAAGCCAGAAACTCCATCTTGGTCTCCCACATGGTGACAGAAATCCCAAGACTTGGCCATCTTCCTCTGCTTTGTCAGCAACATTAACAGGAAGATGAATCCAAAGCAGAAAAGCCAGGGCTGGGCCTACACCTGCAAGTGCCAGCATCCCATGTGGTCATCGGTCCAGTGCAAAGACCAAATTGGTTAATCCTCTGCCTGCCGATACCAGGATCTCATATAGATGCCAGTTCATGTTCTGGTTGCTCCACTTCCCATCCAGCTCCTCATTTATGGCCTGGGAAAGCAGAGAGGAGGGACCAAAGCCTTGGGACCTTTTACCCACATGGGAGACCTGGAAGAAGCTCCCAGCTTTAGATCAGCTCAGCTCAGCTCTGGCTGTTGTGGCCATTTGGGGAGTGAAACAACGGGTGGAAGATTTTTTGTTCTTCTTCACTCTGTAAATCTGCCTTTTCAATAAAAATAAAATAAAAAAAAAAAACCCTATAAATGCCAACAGATAACCAGAAGATAATCAGATGACTTTCCATACTTAAAAGGTAAGATGGCAGTGACAAAGAAAACATGTAATAGAAGGATCCACTGGGGAAGAAAATTGGTAGCTGGAGGGATTAGCCAAAAACAACTGAATGACTCCTAAAGAAAACATGTTGACACGTGGCTTTTAAAACAAAAAGAATGTTACGAAAATTTATGACCGAATATACTCACCCAGCTCATAACTTGAAGAAATCTCTGTGGGTAGAATACATTTTCTACATCTAGCAAAGTGAGGTAAGATTGAACTGCATAGAGTCTTAGCTGTTGATCTTCTGCTTCATCATCAAAACCTAAAAAGAAATTGATACATTCTATCAATTTCTACCAAACTGTCTAAGGCCTCTAAAATGAAACATTTAATCTTAACACCTTTTAAAAACATAATGGCACACTAACCTTCAGCTAACAGTCTCAGGAAGTTATTGGATATATCAGGATGCATTACGTCTCCTCCCACTGAAAATACAGCATTCATTGTCTGAATAAACCACGCATTATCAGGAGCATATGTGTCCATAGCGTTAAGAAGCAGTACACCTCCAAATGCCACTCCTAAAATTACATAAACTTCAGAGAAGCTAAACATTGTCTGTGCTCATTAGAGTAAGTTGTTCTAACGTCTTTCCTAACTTGTCCTGCATCAGTTCTAAAATTCTGTCATTCTCTTAACCAAAGATATCGCTACTCTCAGATAAAACTACATTTAGACAGTTTCCAAAATAATCTGAGCAATATTATTTACATATTCTTTCTTTGAATTAAAGAAACACCTTAGAAAGAACAGATGGAGCAGGTGTGGTAGTGCAACAGTAAAGTTCTAGTCCCTGCTACTCCACCTTCAACCCAACTCCCTTGCTAAAGCGCCTGGGAAAGTAATGAAAGGTGGCCCAAGACCTTGGGCATTCACATGCGAGACGCGGAAGCTCCTGACTCCTGGCCATTTGGCAAGTGAACCAGCAGACGGAAAATCTGTTTCTTTCTGTAATACTGACTTTCAAAAATGGATTTAAAAAAAAAAAAAAAACCTGATGAGAGCGGAGCCAATGGAATTTTCAGCATCTTCCAGCTCAAAACACTAACCAACTACATTATAGAAAACAACAAGAGCCATCCACTAAGAACTCCACACAACAACAGGCTTGAAAATCAAATTATTGCAGGTCTTCTAAAATCAATCTGCTAATGACCATGTCACCAATAATTTTAAAGTAATTTTATAAATAATGTATTTTATTAATCATAGTCCAAATAAAGGATATTTCTCAGCCAGTTCAGCTATTTTGCCAACCAAATTAACAATGATGTATTCTTCTTTGCTCTGATGTAAATACTCAAGCATTTTCTGAACAATAACTGTAACATTCTGTGCATTGGTAATTCTGTAAAGAAGTTCCAGAGTCTATTTGAAGAAAAAGAAATAAAAACAGCATTATAAAAACTACTCATGAAAACACCAATAAATAGAATTATACAAGTTCATAACATAGTCAACATTCCTACTTCTCTTGTTAATCAACTGGGCAGTTAAGAGGTAACAAGAAATACAAATTTTAATGAAAATAAAGCTTAAAAAAGGCTTATTGTCAAAAACTGAATAATGATCAATAAATTGTTTAAAAATGTTAATGCTTCCCACACTATTCACACTCTCAATTTACCTCTCTTTTAATAATGGGATCAGGATGGTCTAAGCATTCAATTATTGTCATCTGGTGTTGAAGAGCCAGAGTAGGATCCTGTTGGATAACATAGGTAAGAGCCTTCAGTCCTAGAAACAAAGACTACATTACACAAAGTGACTGGAGTCAAACACCCAACAAATTTCAAAAATTCTCTTCACAATTTCCATCAAAAGTATCAATCACCTTACCTAAATATTTGAGATTTATTTTAGGCGACAGAACAAATTTTCCAATGCACTTGGCAGCCTTCTCAAGTAATTCCGTCTTAGGATAAATAGAATAGACTGTCTGCACACATTCAAACAGAATAGCTAGTGAAAGAAAACGTTAAAATGGTGGACATCATTTAAGGCACAACAAAACAATTTATCTGTATACAGCTTATAACGAAACTTATAATGGAAGGTCAGCTTATAAACGGAGGTCAGTTTTATTCAAAAATCTTATGGAAATTTTTCACAGATACAAAATTCACTGTTTTCAAGCTTCTAGAGTTGTTATTATCTGGTTACTAGAGTACCATTTAAAAAGAAATACGTTTACTTATGGATAAAATCGGTGGATTAGTTCTAGAAAGTATTTACTGACCACCTCCTATGTGCCAGGCATGATTTCAGTACTATGGATACAGCAGTGAACAAAACAGAACAAAAAACCCTGTCCTGATGCAGCTTATATTCATCTGCACAAACAAAGAAGACATTGTTCCTATTGATATTTCTAACAATCCTTGAATATCTTCAGATAGTTCATTCTTAAGGAGTTCCTACCATTTACACAGGGGTATCGTATATGGTTTACATAATCCTTTTGGGATGACACTGCATTTATTTAAAAGATAGTACCAATATTCAAAAATCCTCTGGTTATTTCTTTAAAATTACCTTCGAATGCAAATTTCATTTTCTGATCTAATCAAAAGTCTATCTGATAACAAAATGACCAAAGTAGTCATTAAAATTTTTTCTCAATTTGTTTTAGAAAGCAAAATTTGAGGAGCTAGAGCTTTACCATGGGGAATAGAAACCCGAGACCCCAAGCAGTTCTGTGTGGCCTAGGAAATCACTGTTACCAAAAGTGAGAAAATGTGAGGCACTGACTCATCAGACCAAAGAGTTCCATCTCAAGCTGAAACACATCAATGGTCCTCAATAAAATCACTCCTTCTCTATTTCCAAATACTCAAAAGCTAACGATAAGACACATTTTTAACAAACAAGGTATAAAACTGGATATCTAATTTTTTTAAGATTTATTTTTATTGGAAAGGCAGACACACAGAGAGCAGGAGGAGAGACAAAGAGGAAGATCTTCCATCCAATGATTCACTCCCCAAGTGACCGCCAACAGCCGGTGCTGCGCCGATCCAAAGCCAGGAGCCAGGAACCTCCTCCAGGTCTCCCATGCGGGTGCAGGGTCCCAAGGCTTTGAGCTGTCCTCGACTGCCTTCCCAAGCAACAAGCAGGGAGCTGGATGGGAAGTGGAGCTGCTGGGATCAGAACCGGCGCACACATGGGATCCTGGCATACTCAAGGCAAGGACTTCAGCTGCTGGGTCACGGCGCCGGGCCCTAAATATCTAATTTCATCTGTTGCCTACCAATTAAAAAGTAATTTCAAAGAAAAAGCTTTAAGTGAGCCTCTTCCAATAGAGAAAGACAAGGGCCTGACAATGGCTCAATTACCTAATCTTCCCTTGCAAGCACTAGGATCCCATATGGACACGTTGGTTCGTGTCCCAACAGCTCCACTTCCCATTCAGCTCCCCGATTGTGGCCTGGGAAAGCAGCAGAGGACGGCCCAAAGCCTTGGGACTTTTGCACCCACGTGGGAGACCTGGAAGAAGCTCCTGGTTGATGGCTTTGGATTGGCTTAGCTCCAGCTGTTGTGGCCACTAGAGGAGTCAATCAACAGATGGAAGATCTTTATTTGCTGCTTCTCTTTGTAAATCTGCCTTTCCAATAAAAATAGATAAATCTTTAAAAAGAGAGGCAGATAAAAACAAGAAACTCAAAAACAAAATATCTGCTTAAGAGAACTGACTTTAAAGGAAAAACTGCAGAGAATGTTAATTATACTGAAAAATACTCTGTATGTTCCTATGTCCTGCTATGAAATGTCTTAATTGGTGTGCTGGCAAAAAGGCTGGCTTTTTTATTTCATTAACTAAACAAAATAAATACAGAGGATCTTGTTTAACTACGGCAAACAGACACTAAATACAGCTTTCAGTGTGTTTTCATTACCTAAGAATGGGCTTTACATTTTTTAAAGTTCATTTTAAAAAGGAAAACAAACAAAAAGCTACAAAGCCTAGAACATTTACTATCTGGCCCCCTTCACGCTAACTGTTGGGACACTTCCAATGAGGCAGCTTTGTGCGGAGCACAAGTGCCCAAGCATGCAGGGACCGGATCACAGCTGGTGCAGGGGACACACTGTCCACCCTTCGCTCCCATGAGGCTGTGAGGTACGGAGGTGGATTCATGCATTCTGATGTAGAACGGCTGTCAGGAATTTGTCTTCTGGACTCCTTGCCCTCTTGGAGAGAGCCTCCCAAGAGCATTTAAAAATGTTTTATTTTCCAACAACTCAATCGACATATTTTCATTATGGCTTCCTGCCATGCAGAATTCTCCTGCTACAAAATTTTTTTAACAAAAGCTTCTCCTTACACACTTAAAAACTAAACTTCATTATTTAGATGCTCATATAATTTCTGGGACATTAGCATAGGAAAATTAGTAGTTTCAAAATTGTATTATTCATCTCTTGATAATAATGCCCAAAACCAATTTAGCGGATTGTTAGATCTTTTCCCACCTAGAGTTAAGTCCTTTGTTCTCCAACTGTACAACAATCAGTGTCAGACCAAACAGTCTGCTGTTTCCTCTCTGCACTGATTAAGATACAAATATATCTGAGTATTTCCAAACTTCAAACTATGACATGAAAGGCTGCTTATTCATCAGCAACAGTCCAGTCCCTAGTCAAGACCACCAAGTAAAAATTACTAAATTAAAAATACAAGCAGCGGGCCTGGCACGATGGCATAGTAGTTAAAGTCCTTGCCTTACACACACAGGAATCCCATATGGGCGCCAGTTCTAGTCCCGTTGGTTCCACTTCCCATCCAGCTCCTTGCTTGTGGCCTGGGAAAGCAGCTGAGGCCAAAGCCCTGGGACCCTGTACCTGCGTGGGAGACCCGGAAGAAGCTCCTGGATCCTGGCTTCAGATAGGCTCAGCTCCAGCCCTTACACTCACTTGGGAAGTGAATCATCAGACAGAAGATCTTCCTCTCTGTCTCTCCTCCTCTCTGTATATTTGCCTTTCCAATAAAATAAATAAATAAATAAATACATCTCTCTTTAAAAAAAAAACACAAGCAGCTCCAACCCAGTGGAAATACAAGTCCTGCTGGTTAGCTTAAGAGTTGGGGTGGTGATGGGCTAAGCTAGGAACAACAATGAAACCCACAAACACTCACAGGTGCTGGAAACAGGCTGGGTAGGTACAGGCTGCAGCAGCCATACGTGCATCCTACCACCAGATGTGAGGCAGGACGGGCCGCAACATCTTCCAGCTCATACAAAGGTCAAGGTGGAATGGCAGGCTATGCTGAGCAAGGACCCAGCATCTGCTGCAACATGTGAGCTCTGGGTCAGGGAGTGGTCTGGGAACTTGGGGAACTTATTGGAGGTCACACTCCCTCTGGGAAGCATGCATTTCAGGCCTGGGTGTTGGGCAGCCTGAGCAGGGTGATTCCAACTGTTGGTAAGGATGAAAACCAGGACTGGGGCAGATGTGGATGGACAGAACAGCACCCACCAGCATGTGTGTGGGCTGGATAGTGAGGCCTGGTTGGGTCCTAACACATCAATAAATCCTGATTTGTGCCCTCAGGCCCAAAGCAATCTCTACCATCTTCAGACTCCTCTAATATTAATTTACTATAATATCCCCTCACATGCTATCTTACATTGGTATTATGATTCCATAAATAAGTCCTCTTTTCCACTATTTGTAAATTCCTTCAACAGAAATATCACATCCTTGGGCCCGGCACGGTGGCTCAGTGGTTAAGGTCCTCGCCTTGCATGCCCGGGATCCCATATGGGCGCCGGTTCTAATTACAGAGGCCCCGCTTCCCTTCCAGCTCCCTGCCTGTGGCCCGGGAAAGCAGTCGAGGATGTTCCAAGGCTTTGGGACCCTGCACCCGTGTGGGAGACCCGGAAGAGGCTCCTAGCTTCGGATCGGCATAGCATTGGCCGTTGCGCTCACTTGGGGAGTAAATCATCGGACGGAAGATCTTCCTCTCTGTCTCTCCTCTCTGTATATCTGCCTTTCCAATAAAAAAATAATAAAAATAAATCTTAAAAAAAAAAAAGAAATATCACATCCTGTATTTCTTCATATCCTCTATACCACTTTATACAATGCCTGGCACAGAGTAGATAGTCAATAAATGTTTTTGTTATAACTTATTTGCTAACTTGACACTAAGATAAGTGACAATCATGGAATGTTCATTAAAATATGAACTGGAAAGTACTAAGACAAACTCAGAAAACTGATAAAAGCAAAATAATAATCTCTGATTATTATAATAATCACTGATTAACCCAATGTTAGCAACTGGATACACAGGTCAGCAAGACGTAGTCCCTGCCCTTATGAAGCTTGTATTTAAAAAATGACATTCTTAGGTAATCAACTATTTTTATTAGGATTGTCAAAAAAAACTCTGAAATGTCAATTATACCACTGACATAACCAATGTAGTTATCATCTGTATCAATACAAATATGGGGGGAAGCACAATAATTAAAAGCTATATAGAGGAAATAAAACAGAAACTATAAGGTTTTCTATAGCAAGGCGAGACACTGGACCAATAGTCATTAAAGAAACAAACTGTTGGTGTTGGCTCAAACAATCCTTCATACAGAAGTTCTAGCTCAAAATATTGAAAAATATTTCTTCAGGTATAGAGCATTCTCTAAATCAAAAGGAAAAAGATAACAATAGTTATCTCTAAGCAGGGGAACTAGGTGGTAGGTGAAAAGGGTGAAAGGCAGACTTACTGTTCATTGTATACCCTTTTGTACCTTTTGAATTTTGAACCATGTGCATATATTTCCTATTCAAAAAAATAAAAAAATTAAAGCTGAAATGTCATTGATATTAAAATTTTTTGTCAGAAAAAAAAAGCAGATTTTTATCTGGTTTTTAAAAAAGAATGCCTTGAGAGCCTTTAAAACCTTTATCCTACACAAAAAGTATATCATAAACAAAACATTTGAATTTATGTTAGCAGCTGGAAGACTTTGATACTCCTCTGGATCTTCTCACAGCTCCACACTAAACCACCTGCCCCAGAACGGGTCATCCTCCTTTGTGGCCCTTCATTCTCTGGATCACAGGAACCTAGATAATACCGTTCGTTACAGCATACACTCATAAGGGCAGGGCCTGTGTCTACCTTATTCTCTATTCATTCCCATACTTTACAGAATAATACGTAAGCCTGTCAACTCATTCTTCTATCTCTTCTAAAACCAATACCAAGTTTTTGTTTCAGACATCCAATCCACACTGGATGCACAAATGAATAAAGGTTTAGCTTACTACTGCCTAGCTATCATTTACACATGCAAAACATACCTATCAATCTATTTACAACCACACATATTATTTTCCCTCTACTAGTTTCATGTACGCAATCCTTTCTCTTCATTTCTACTGTTTCTTTATCAAGCACTTTGTATTTTCAGTTAAACATTCAATTTCTACCCTCAGGTATACCCTATGCTTATGCAGCCAATGATTTAAAAAATCTAGGTTGCTATTGTCTAAAAACACAAATAATACTCTTTACACATGCGCACACACACACCTCTACATCCTGGTATCTACCAGATCTCACACACACACACACACACACACACACACACACACACATACACACACACCCTCTACATCCTGGTATCTACCAGATCTCACACACACACACACACACACACACCTCTACTTCCTGGTATCTACCAGATCTCACACACACTCACACACACACACCTCTACATCCTGGTATCTACCAGATCTCACACACACTCACACACACACACACACACACACCGCTATATCCTGGTATCTACCAGATCTCACACACACTCACACACACACACACACACACACACACACACCCTCTACTTCCTGGTATCTACCAGATCTCACACACACTCACACACACACACACACACACACACACACACACACCCTCTACATCCTGGTATCTACCAGATCTCACACACACACACACACACACACACACACACACACACACACACACCTCTATATCCTGGTATCTACCAGATCTCCCACACACACACACAACACACACACACACACACACCTCTACTTCCTGGTATCTACCAGATCTCACACACACACACACACACACACCTCTACATCCTGGTATCTACCAGATCTCACACACACTCACACACACACACACACACACACACCCTCTACTTCCTGGTATCTACCAGATCTCACACACACACACACACACACACACACACACACACACACACCTCTACATCCTGGTATCTACCAGATCACACACACTCACACACACACACACACACACACACACACACACACACACACACCTCTACATCCTGGTATCTACCAGATTTCACACACACACCCACACACACCCTCTACTTCCTGGTATCTACCAGATCTCACACACACTCACACACACACACACACACACACACACACACACACACCCCTCTATATCCTGGTATCTACCAGATTACACACACACACACACACACACACACACCCTCTACTTCCTGGTATCTACCAGATCTCACACACACTCACACACACACACACACACACACACACACACACACACACCCCTCTATATCCTGGTATCTACCAGATCTCACACACACACACACACACACACACACACCCTCTACATCCTGGTATCTACCAGATTAAGAAAACACTTCTCATTTGGGCTACATCTTTCAGTATCTCTTGTTTTCTCGCAAATAATTCAAAATTCAAAGTGCTTGATTTTCTGCTTTTAAATAGTTTCACAAAATTTCCAATTCTTCTCTGAGCTTTCAAAGATTTATCTAACAAGAATAAATCCTCTCTCTGGCTGCAGTTTTTTTGTTACTTTCTTGATGGTTATCCCCTCCTCTAACTTACCTTTGTCTATCACTGAGTTACTCTGAAAATTTATACATATTGTAATTTACTATCTTCACAAAATAGTGTGTTAATATCTTATATCAATTTATTATCTATAACCTACTCATTTTTTAAATGGCTTCTTAAAAGATAATACTTTTTTCAGGAAACTTTCCTTCTTCCCCTCCCCACCCCACAACTAAGACTATCTGCTACATTTTACCACATTTTGTAATGTCTGCAAAAAATCTATTCTATTCCACTTATTTACTCTGTAGGCACCATTAAAATACTGTTTTATTCACAGCTGTATTCCAAGTACCTTGCACAGGGCCCAAAAGAAATTTGGTAAAAAAAAAAAAAATTTTTTTTTGGTAAATACTTTTCCATCTTCTGACTTAGTCAAGAATTGTTTTCAAATATAGACCTTTACAAAATAGGCAATAAGTTGTCTAAGTTATAGTCACAGTCAATAATAAACTTGACAAATGCTTTCAATAGAGAGACAACTATAATAAAGATTTAGGTCAACAATTAAAAAGGTGCTATTATTTCAGAGTACTGCTATCTACTGATTATTCAATGCTCACACTGAAATATAACACTTACCATATGTGACATTGTGGTTTAATTCAGCTCTTCGTAAGGATTCATCAAGAACATCATACATTAATTCACTTGTCCTGTTTAAAAGATATTTTATTTGCAGAAGAATTACAGTATTCTAACCCAATAAAACACAGTTTTTCAAACTTCTCTCTCTTTAAAACTGAGGATCTACAGAAGAGAAGTGAAAGAAATTTATTTTATAGTGATATTGTACAAATTTCACTTCTAAAAGATTTTATTTGTTCTTTTTACAAGATTAACTTCCTGTTCTAAAAGTAGACTGGTCAGCCAGGGTCAATGAGGATATATACACAAATCCATCATTTCTTGTCTCACCTATTTCCAGTTTACAAACCAGGATGTCTGATTGAACTTTTTTTTTTTGATTGAACATATTTTTACAATTTTCTTCACAACAAAACATTTATCTAAGTTACTGCAGTAATATCGCAAATATACAGATTATTCTAAACAGTATATTATGTATATTTCTTTGTTTGGTTTTGAAAACTTACTTATTTTCATTCAAAAGTCAGGATTACAAAGAGAAAAGGAGAAGACAGAAAGATCTTCCATCTGCTGCTTCACTCCCCAAGTGGCCAAAATGGCTGGAGCTGAGCTTATCTGAAGCCAGGAGCCAGGAGCTTCTTCCAGGACTCCCACACAGGTGCAGGGTCCCAAGACCCTGGGGTCACAGGCAGGGACCTATATGGGAAGTGGAGCAGCCAGGATACGAACCAGCTTCCATGTGTGATCTCGGGTGTACAAGGCAGGGACTTTAACCATGAGGCTACCATGCCAGGCCCTATTTTATTGCTTTTATTTATTTGTTTGCAAGAGTTACAGAGGGAGACAGTGAGACAAAGAGAGATTCTCCATCTGCTGCTTTACTCCCTAGATGGCCACATGACCTGGGCTGGGCCAGGAGACAAGAGCTTTTTCTGGGACTCTCTCATGGGTGGCAAGGGCTCAAGCATCCAGTTCATCCACTCAGGTCATTAGCAGAAGCTGAATTGGTAGATCAGCTAAGATATGATCCAGTGTCCATACGGAATGCTGGCATTACAGGTGGTAGCTTCTCCCACTATGCTGTGACACTGACTCTACTAGAGTTTTTGGTTTTTTTTTTTTAATTTTTAATTCAAATATTAATCTTTTACTGAACAACCAGGTCCTTTGGTAAGAAAATTTTACCACATTAAAAACAAGTAAGAGGGGCCTGGCGTGGTGGCGCAAGTGGTTAAGGTCCTCGCCTTGCATGCCCAGGATCCCATATGGGTGGCGGCTGGGAGCCTAGGTTAGCCTGAATAAACTGCCTTTATGTGTTTGCATTGACTTCAGACTCCTGATGATTTTCTGGGGGTCGCAAAATCTGGGCACAACATTATACCTTTCAAAAAATTTTTTTCAAATAAAAAGCTAGAAAATTCATTATAAAGTACACATATTTTCATTCTGTCTTGGCTGTTCTTTCCAATTGATGGCTATTGATGGCATAAAATCTTACTACAACAACTCCTAATGCATTAGTATGATTAGTATGAAATGAATGATTTTAAAAACAGAAGTCGAGTGAACTTAAACTAGAACTTCATGTTAGCACTATGATATAAAACAGAAGGCTATTAGGATAAACATTTCCAATGTGTGTATCTGTTCCATCACCTCCAAATTTTCAGAGATCCATAAATCCAGAGTTCATGGTACCAAGAGTGATATATCTAGTTAGCACTGATCAGGAGTTTCCAGGCAGAGGGGCTTAACATGAAGCTGAAGAAGTGTGCCTTGACCAATAGCCCAAATGCCACCCCTTGTAAAGTTAGACTGAAAACAGTATCAAGCTACCATACTACACTCACAACATTAAGCAGTAGTGGGCAGGCACTAAGCCTCCCCTAGCAACACCAGCATCGCATATGAATACCAGTTGAAGTCCTAGCTACTTCATTTCCAATCCAAATCTCTGCAAACGTGATAGAAAAACAGCAAGAGACAGCCCAAGTATTTATGCCCCTGACACCCAAGTTGAAGAACAAGATGGAGTTCCAGGCTCCTGGCACTAGCATAGTCCAGTCCAGCTGTTGCGGCAATTTGGGGAATAAACCAGCAGGTGGTAGCTCTCTCTGTCTCTCTCTAAATGAGTGGATGAAGATAATTATATAAATCTCTGTCTGCCATTTAAATAAATTAATTGGTTTTTAAAATACATTAAATAAATTCTTTAGAAACATCAGAGACTCAAACCAGGGTCCCTGCTATTAAAAAAACTAAAATCTAGGCAGACTTGCACTTGAACAAGTCAGAAATATTTTTGGAAACAAAAATAGGGGTACCAGTTCAAGTCTTGGCTGCTCCACTTCTGATCCAGTTCCCTACTGTTTCTGAGAAAGATCAAGTACTTGGCCCCTGCACCCACATGGAAGACTCAGAAAAAGCTTCTGGCTCAGGACCAGTCCAGCTCTGGCCTTTGCGGCATTTATGAGGAATAAGCCAGTGGATGAAAGATCTCTCCCTTCCTCTGTTCATAAATATACCTTTCAAATAAAAATAAATAAATATTAAATAATAATAATAATATATGGGGCGTGGTGCTATAGCATAGCAGATAGGGCCACCACCTGTGAAGCCAGTATTCCATGGATTTGTGTCCCAGCTGCTTGGGTCCCTACACCCACATGTGAGAACCACATGAAGCTCCTGGCTTCTGACTTCAACTAAGCTGAGCCATGGCTATTGTAGCCTTCTGGTGATTTCACCCACAGGCTAAAGATCTCTCTCCCTCTTTCTCCAAAACTCAAATAAATAAGTCTTCAAAAATAATAATCCTAAGCATGTACATGTGCACACAGAGAGACAACGGCAAAGCATCTGATAACTCCAGATACTAGCGGTTACGGATTTTCTTTATACAAACTACAGCAAGTACTATCTTAGAACTTTGAAAGCTTACGGCTTAAAAGAGTATAGCAGGGCCTGGCGCCGTGGCCTAGCAGATAAAGTCCTCGCCTTGAACGCCCCGGGATCCCATATGGGTGCCAGTTCTAATCCTGGCAGCCCACTTCCCATCCAGTTCCTTGCTTGTGGCCTGGGAAAGCAGTCGAGGACAGCCCAAAGCTTTGGGACCCTGCACCCGCATGGGAGACCTGGAAGAGGTTCCTGGTTCCCGGCTTCAGACTGGCACAGCACCAGCCATTGTGGCCCCTTGGGGAGTGAATCATCGGACGGAAGATCTTCTTCTCTGTCTCTCCTCCTCTCTGTATATCTGACTTTGTAATAAAATAAATAAATCTTTTTTAAAAAAGAGTATAGCAAAATATAAAGTTACAAAAAACACATACGCGCAATAGCACGCACAGGGATCCCATATGGGCGCCGGTTCTAATTACAGAGGCCCCGCTTCCCATCCAGCTCCCTGCTTGTGGCCTGGGAAAGCAGTAAAGGATGGCCCAAGTCTTGGGACCCCGCACCCGTGTGGGAGACCCAGAAGAGCTCCGGACTCCTGGCTCAGACCGGCTCAGCTCCAACCGTTGCAGCCACTTGGGGAGTGAACCATCAGATGGAAGATCTTCCTCTCTGTCTCACCTCCTCTCTGAATATCCGCCTTTCCAGTAGAAATAAATATTTTTAAAAAACACATACAGTTGGGAAAATAGTTTACAATAAATGTAAAAATGTAAAAGATTAATTTAAGTTATTGGCTAAAAGAATACTCCAAAAAAATGAGTGAAGAAGCTGAAGCACCTGCATCCAAGCAGACTTAACTGCCGGCAAACTACAGCCCATAGGCCTAATCTGACCAGTTCCTGTTTTAGTACAACTGGAAAGCTAACAATTGTTTTTATATTTTTAAATGGTTAGAAAAAACATTAAACATTTCATGATTATTATTATCATAACAAAACTCAAGTCTGAAAGTTGGTAAAAAGCTTCTTTGCAGCATTTCAGCTTCTTCATTTTTGGATTGCCCATGCCTGCTCTCATACTATAACAGCAGACATGAACAACTGTTAAGAGACAACCCTGGGCTTGCAAAGCCAAAAACACTTACCTGGTCCTTGGCAGAAAAACTTTGCTAATCGCTCGGCACACTTACCCCTCACCCCAGCTAACGGACTCAGAAACAGAGGAGATGGCCCTTCAAAACACCTTTCTCATTGGGTAGGATTTAGATAAGCAGAGAGCCAAGATTATCCCAGCAACCCAGGAAGGTTTATGTACTTCTTTCATTGATTTATTTAAGGCAAGTAAACAATAGGATAATCTATCTTATCTCAAAAGCTCAAGTGACAAAAAGCCTGAAAGCTGTATCACACAGGATGAGGCCATTCAGTAGACTTACTTAGAATAGTTTACCTTTGATCATCTTTTCCTAGAAGTCCAAGAATTCTCAAGAGCTGAATTTGTAACCATGGTGCTGGCACACTGTGGTAATTGAAATCTACTGGGAGCTTTCCTCCCACCACTTGCTTCAAAATTGTTACAAAACTCCCAGTCAAGTCTTTATATCCAGATGAATTCTCCTACATTCTCCGGAAAAAACAACCTTCTGTTAATGTCTTATCAACCACATAATAGACCTTGCTGAAATGCACAGAGAGCCTAACTTAATTAAATATGTCTATGTTTACATTTAATCAAACAGTGCTCTAATACACATAATATCTTCCATGACGAAATTCCTTTGGCTACCTAATGCTAATGTGAATCATCTCCAGAAAAACTTCGACCACTCCCTACTTTTCTCCCAACACAGTTTAATCACATTTTTTAATTTTTAGAAACACATCTTAGAATCGTTAATGGCCAATACCAGAAATTAAGACAAAATGTAGAAACTGGCATGCAAAAAAGGGACAATAAAATCACTGCTTTGGATAAAAACCAAGGTCTGTTCACAATCTCTGAACTGTATCCAGTAATTTCTCATAAATGTGTTACACCTGTTGTAGGTAGAAAGGCAAAGACAACACTACTTATACATTCAAAACCCCCAAAACTCAGTGGGTTTGTCAATTAAAAATTAATTAACATACAGAATTTAAACATATTTCTGGTTCTAGGTAAGTGTGCCTTGATTCTCTAATTATGTAACAAATTTCTTGTATTGGGAAATTAAATATATGCTTCTCAAAATGAACATCAGCTTCTTCAATGCAATTTTCACTACGTATCAAGGTTAAATTTTCAGGAGGGACATTATAGGTCTTTCAAATTTTGGCAGATACTAGAGGAAAAATCATTTTCGGTATCAAATATCTTTACCATACTATTTTGGACATAATGTGTTAAGTGAAAGGATTGCTTCTAAATTGTAAAATGAATTCAACAGTCCACTATTTATTTTAGCAAATACTGAAAAAATCTGTCACCTCAGGGACTCACTGCTGGGCTGCTGCTTCTACTGGTAAGTGTGACAGTAGGGACTGGGAGTGAGCTGGTCTGGGGGCAGACCAGGTTAGGCTACGTCATAGCACACCCACTGGCAAGTGCCAGGACTAGATGTAGATCCTGTCAGGCCAGACCACAGGACCCCCTGGCAAGTGCGAGATCCGGGGATGGATGCCAGCCTGGTAGGAAACTGGGCACTTCACTGCTAGGCTGCAGCTCCTGGTGGTGAGCACAAGAGCCAGGGCTGGTGGCAAACCAGGCTGGACAGGTTGGCGGAACTCACTGGCATACATGCGGGCCAGGTTTGAGGGGTGAATCAGGCTGAGCTAGGCTGAAGCACCCATGGGTGAACATGAAAATCAGCTGGGCTGCAGTACAGACCAGGCTAGGCTATAGCACATACAAACATTGGGGTTGGGGGGTGGACCTGATGGGGGCTAGTTAGGGTTGATCCTACTAAGCCAAGCCCCCTGCTACGGTCTTCAACATGCCTGTAGCAGGCTGGGCTGGGCTGCAGCACCCATTAGGTAACATGAGAGATAGCACTGGGGGCAGAACTGATCAGGCAGCAGCATCCAAATGGTGCAGATGACAGACTGAACCTGGCCCTGCACTGGCTATCACACACAAGGAGTCAGGTCTGAGGCCACCCCAGGTAAGGTTTCTTAGGGAACTCACCAACTAAACTGCTAGACTCAAACTCTGGCCACGGGAAAACCCTCAATATATGCGCTCCAACCTTGGAGTGCATGTTCTGGGACTGGATCTCCTCAGTTGCTGATGCCTGTGCAGTGGATAGCATGCACATATGTGCACAAGGGATAGCCAGCTCATCTAAACCAGCAGAGGATGTCATGTGCCTCATCAAACGATGGAAAGCAAAACACATCGGACCGCTCTCCAGGCCAACCTTTGTAACATGTTCCTGGGTCTGTAGATGCACTAAGGTGGACTTGATCAGCCAATGGACCTTGGAAAGATTTTCTCAACCCTGGAGCAAAGAAGCCAAGGACACCTCAAAACTATCAAAACCACTCAAGTGACAGCCTCAAAACACTCTTCCCCACATTGGATCAGGTCTCTAAGGCATCATCATCCTCATCCCCTAGTGCTGATGTAGTTTGACAGCAAAGAGTGGTCCCCTCCCCTCCCCTACCCTGCAGACTCAGGTGAAAAAAAAAATTAAAACATGTATCCCACCCCCCTTCCTCCACACCTCAATGTTCCCCACCCTAACCAGACATTCACATGGTGAGCATCCCTCTCAACTATGTAATCAACGCTAAAAATAATTTTTTTAAAAAAAGCAAAAGAAATCTCACATTTATAATCCAAAAAAAGAAAAAAAAAATTTGATGATGTAGGAAAATCAAACATAGTAGTAAATAATCTAAAATACTAAGAATTGGATTAAGACCACAACTTTGTTTTTTAAATATAAAGTTGCATAGAGAAAAAGTTTTAATGTGTATTCCTAAATAATAAAAAATATGCACAATATGCACATTTTAATCACCTTTCATAACTACCATTTTACCACACCTCTTTCTCTTTCTCTCTCTCTCTCTCTCTCTCTCACACACACACACACACACACAAATTTAGGCACAAAAATACCAATTCTGACATAATTAAAAAGCCAGCACCAAAGCATAAAATGTTAATTAAACATTTTAATGCAACATCTGAGTTTTCCTTTAATTCCGTAACTATATTTTTCTGAGAGAGCTTCCTCAAGTACTTGGATGGCTCCCATACATTTATTCTAGCCTCCTATAGATTCAGCCTGGCTCAGCCTTTCAAATAAAATTTAAAAAATAAACATACACACTACCTGAAATTTCTAACTCACCTTAATCATCCTAAAGTATATGTGCAAGGAAGCAGCCATGACCCCAACATCTCTGTCACAAAGTGCTTTCCGAAACTTCACGTGGATATGCTGTACTTGATTAGGGGCAATGAGATGGAATTTGTATAATGCTAGAACAGCTTTTTTTCGTATAATCTCCCTGAGGATTAAAAACAAAAACAAAAACAAAATCTAAACAAGAAAATCTGAATTATTAGACATTTATTTAGAAAAAAATATGGGACAGATGACTTCAAAATACTAGCTATTTCTTTCATCTAAAAAGAATGATATATTTGGTATTAACTTTATTCTAACAAATCAAAGCATAAAAAGTGGTTGTCTTTAGAAGATAAACTTCCACAGACTTTGACTATTTTACACAATTCTCTAGTTACTAAATTTTGTAATGAGAATATGCCACTTCCGAATTCAGAAAAATAAAACTGATAATTACTGATTCCCTAATTCTATTTTTTTTAAATTTTATTTATTTGAAAGGTAGGATGGCAGAAAAAAGGGAGAAAGAGAAAGACTTTAGAAGAGAGGGATTTGCCATCTGCTGCTTCACTTCCCAAACAGCCTCAACCACTGAGGCGAAGGCAAGTGGAAACCAGGACCTAGAACTCCGTCTGGGTGTCCCACATGGGTAGAAGACTCCAGTACTTGGGTCATCTTCCACTGCTTTCCCAGCCATATTGGCAGGGAGCTGCGTGGAAGCAGAGCAGCTGGGACTCAAACCAGTAATTGATCATTTCAGCTAATAATATGTAAATTTCTTTATTAATATTTAATTCTCTAAATTTAATATTCTCTAAAGTATTTCAATGTTTCTTTTTTCATACCATGGGCAAACATATTCCAAATACTTGGGGAACACACATAAAGATGCTATTCCTCTCCCAGTTCATCTGTTTCAAAAGCCTCACGATAATAAAGAGAAATATATACATATTAGTTTTGGATTTCATTTATAGCAGATAACTGAAGCAAAAATAAAAATACCACCTTATATTCATGATACAGTTTTCAAAGAAGTATGTTTTTGTCATTCTGTCTCATGCCTATTTCCAAATACATCTAATTTAAGACTATGCTGATAGTACTCAAACAACACAGGAATGAAATATTTACTTGGACTACAAAAACCAGTGACTGGAGAAAATGTATATTACTTATACTCAAAAGTGAAGTTTTAGAATTCCTTACTATCAATTTATGTCAAATATGAGATGACAGAGCAGTGCAAGGTTGATCAGAAAGCTACAGATTCACAAGCACTACCAAAAACAAAGCTACCTGCAATCTGTTTTGGTTCTAAGGAATAGAATTTAGCTTCAAAAACTGAGGCTAATTTCATAGGAAGAATCTAAATAACTGACTATGCTAAAGAAATTGCCAACTTAGTCACAGAATCTCAACATTCAGACCTAATGCATCCTTTTGTGTTCTATTCAGTATCACTTTTATAAGATTCCTAACAACTGGTCATCCAGCTAATGCTAATTCCATTTAAAAAAAACAGTTCAATATCTTTCTAAGCAAACTAGCAAATAATGAGAAATTGTTCTCACATTAAAAAAAAATACAGACTTGGGCTGCTCCATGGTGTGTAGGTTAAGCTACCACCTATGGTGCCAGCATTTCATACAGATCCTAGTTCAAGACCCAGCTGGTTCACTTCTGAGCCATCTCCCTGCCAATGCTCCCAGGAAAGCAACAAAAGATTGCCCAAGTGCTTGGACCCCTATACCCACACTGCAGACACAGAAGCTTCAGGGTCCTGGCTTGCCCTGGCCAGCTCTAGCCATGTGGCCATCTGGGGAGTGAACCAACAAATAGAAGGTCTCTCCCTCCCTCTCTAACACCGCCTTTCAAATAAATAAAATAAATATATATTAAAAAACATTGATTTAAGGAAGCATATGTGATAAAATGTTGTATGAGTAATTTAAAAAAACACTTTACCTAGAATGTCTGTATAATCAATCGATTATAATCACAAAGGAAAAGTGACTGCAAACTTTTTCTTAACTTTAAAGATTACGAATCTAAGGAGCTTACCAAAGACAAAATAATTTCTAACGTGGTAAAAACGTAAGTGAAGCTAATAAGGAGATAATTAACGAATCTTACAAGAAAAAGGTTGCAAAATACTACAAGTTATTGCTTATTTGGATATATTCTGCTATAAATCAGAATTTGAATGCTATGACTTTGATATAAAAAGAATCCTGCCAATACACAGAAGCTTTTCATGCAGAACATCTGAGCTGTTTTCAAATGTTTTCCAATATTTCATTTTATCCTCAAAACAACTTTGTGAGAATTAAGGAGCTTTACCCAAGCCCACATAGCCAAGGAAAAAAACAGAACCATTGCCTATTAGTGGTGGAATTGGGAAGAAAGTCAAGGATTCCTGATTCTAAGCTTTACTGTCTGTGAGTATAATATTAGAAAGCTGCCTGAAATTTTCCTAAACCCATATAAAAGTAGGATGATTGTCCTAGGGAGTTCTGTATTACGTCAAAGAACATTTTCTACCCTGGTAGCATTAAGTAAAAGTTATGACAAAACTTTGCTATGAAATATACCACACAAGCATCGATCTGAAAAGAATTTACTTACTTAGAATGTTGAAGTTTATCTTCGATTAACGGAAGAACAGCTGGAATCATTTCTCGAGGGAAAATCTGGCTGACAATAGTGAGCGCCATGCATACTTCTAACAGGTTGGTACTCTGCAGGTCCTAGCACAATCACCAAGCAAAGAAAAAAAAACATTGAGTGGAACTTGGGAAAGCAGGGATGGCAAATCCAGTATTGTAATGACCCAACATACTAGTCATTTTCTCCCAACTTCATATTAATTTGAACATTCAGATTTATATTTTAAAGAAATATCACTATGTGTTTCACTGCCAAAACAAAGCTAATAGACAAACATAGCATCAAAACAACAGGTATAAAAGGAAATTATATTTCTATTCTGACATTGGCCAAAATAGTCTTCTTTATTTTCTAAACTAATAACAAAACAACTCAAGGAACTTTTTTTTAATTGATCAACAGTAGTAACAAGAGTGAAAGTTTTTTAAAAATTGTATATAAAACACATATATACATACGTAATTTATAAATTAACAGAGTTTTAACACATGTTTTTGGAAAGTCTAGAAAATATTTAAGTTACTAATAACTTTAACAGTTAATGACTTAAAATTCAGGAAATACAACATACACTCTCGCATATCAAATTCCTAAGTGAAAAATGGAAAAGCTCATCAATTCACCTGTATCTTTCATTTTAATTAAAATTTAACAGGAGAAAACCTCATGAGTGTGGATTATGCTTTTATCACCTATTCAGTTATCCAACTACATTTTCCTATTAAATGTTATTTTAGATTTTTAAGATTTTAATTTTTTGGTCTATATCTATATTCTTTCAGAATATAGAGGAAAAAGCAGCATGAAAAGTGTCCTTAAGAACTTACAGATCTGTGTCATAATCTAACTGTGAACTTCAAAATGAAATAACAACAAAAGCACTAAGTTACTACTTCACGTGGCTTTTTAGTTAGCCCTCAACACTCTGAAAATTCTATTTTATATCCCTACTGTAAAAATACAGAAACTGATCTAAGAGATTTTTCTAAGCCTATTTTATAAACCCATCCCCTTCCAAAATTATCTAACTCAGTATGACTGATGACCATGTCAGATGAGAGCCGGAATAATTTAAGACTTCATATTAATCAGCAGACAATACCTTTACAACTGTATTCACAAGAAGCAGCAGCAGCTCATGACTTTCATGTAGAAATAAAGAAACAGCCAAGTAACCTTTAAAAGATGGGTGGAAAAAAGTCTCATTACTACTTACCAAAAATAAATGTTCCCCAATAAGTTTAACAAAACAATAATATATTTCTTAACTTCTTAGGTCAAAATCACCAGTTACACACAAGCATAAAAATTATTACAGCTAACAGTGAGTTAGTGACTATTTGTATTACTTGAGTAAGCCAGCACCAACCCACACGATACAAATCATATACTAAGGCACACACACTCTTACTTTCCTCAATCTGAAAACACTACTAAATGAGCAACAGTTACTGAGGAAAAAAGCACTCTACCACATTAAATGTACTCATTGGCTTAAACAAGCATTTTTACTTAGATAATATTTACACTTTTTAGAAGTACAGAGGAGTGAGGAAACCCATGACTACACAGCAAACGCCACGCAGCTGTAATCTAGATGTTCCATGCCTCTCTCCGTCAGTCCTCACATTGTCAACTAGCATTTGTTAGACAGTGACTATGGTCAAGTACATTACAAGCTTTACCTCACCTAAACTCACAAAAACTCTAGGAAGTAAATACTATCCTTTTCATAAAGTAATGATGAGGCCCGCAGTCAACAGCTAACACATAGTAGAATCATGACTCAAACCCAGGCAAGCCACATCTTAAAATCCTTTGCTATACAGCTTCTTTACATAATCTTTCTTTAGTACTGAAGTTGCCTGACTTCTACACTTGTTGGTTTCTCAATTCTTCTGGCCGTTTTATTAGCAATTCCAATACTAACTATCATCATTACCCACACTATATGCATTTATCGTCCAACATGGGAAAACAGAGAGTTTTGATTCTCACAACTAAGCAGCAGCAGCCTGTCTGACAGAATTCTCTTCAGGGAAAGCCTGAGGAGCAGCATTATTACTTACACAATCAGGAAAGAGATGAAAAAGAAAATCCGACCAGAACTAAGAAGGGGATAAGGAGAATCCCAGAGAACACTCAAGGCATGGATTAAATCTTAGAAGACTGCTGACAAATCACCTGTCCAATGATGGTATCACCTTCACTCAACTTACCAATAATATCTGTATCAGCAAATTAATCCAAAGATATCTGTTAAACAAATCCTATTTTGACAATAGACAGGAAGAGTGTGACTCAAAAAACTTCTCAGGTAAACAAACAAACAAATAAAAACCCATTTATGATTATACAGTAGATTTGATATGACTAAGTGGAACATAGGATAAATGTTTAGACTAACAGAAATTCAATTTTACAGGCTAGCTACACCATTTATTAGCTCTATGACCTTGGACAAACAACAAGACTTTTCTATTTTCTCACCTTTAAAATAAAGACAAATACTATCTCATTAAATAAGACACTTTACAAAACGGGTACTAATCCAGCCACTGACTTAACGGGGCCTGAAATTTATTTATTCAGTAAGATTTATACAGAAAATAAGGTGGCATTCTCTACCAGGGAAAGCACCAAAGGTGAGCCTTAGACCTCTCAGAGGAGTAGAGTGTGAACAGGAGTCGAGGGAAGACACAGAGAAGGTTGAAACGTTATCTTTCAAAAACTTGCTTTCACTCCATAGCAGAGACTAAGAATATCTGATACCTAAAAGGTTATACTTAGAATGTCTTTATTTTCTTTCTTTAGAGTAAAGTTCAAAAAAGCAACTTTGGACCACTGTTGCATATTTTGGGAAAAGGGAAAAGCTTTTCAGTTGTGAACAGAAGCATGTTAGTTGTGACCCATTTGGAAATACCCCAAAAATCACCCATGAGAAGACACAGTGGTGACAGACTCAAGGCAACAGCCTGCTATTTCTTCGCCTACTACTCAACATTTCTGCTCATTTCCCTGATTTCTCCACTGCTGGGCCTATTTTTATCTTCTCTAATGTTTCCCTTCACTTTTGAGCCATTTTTTAAAATTCCCTTATATATTAGCATAGAATGAGAAAACAGTGCTACCTCTCTTGAGGTCTCTGGAAGATATACTCAAAGAAATTAAACTCTAATAGTGAAATTTCAGCTCAAGTAGGAAAGACACTTATGAGCTGAAACTATAAAATGTATTGGGGTACAGGTATTGTGGCATGGTGAGATAGCTGCCATTGGAATGCCTGTATCCCTACAGGAGTGCCTGAGATTGAGTCCTCTGTCCACTTCCAATGCAGCTTCCTGCTCTTGTGTTGGGAGACAGCTCAGGGGGCCAGGCAGTGCCACAGTAGGCTAATCCCATATAGGCAATTCAAGCCCTAGCTTTTCCACTTCCAAATCAGCTCCTAGCTGATGGCCTGGAAAGCCACAGAGGATGGCATGAGAGCTGTCTGGGTTGGCTCAGCTCTGTCGGCCACTGATGCAATTTGGGGAGTGAGCCAATGGATGGAAGACACCTCTCCCTCTCTTTCGGTAAATCTGCCTTTCAAATAAAAATAAATGAATTAAAAAAAAAAAAACTTACTGAAGTTTAATTCACATACAAGAAAATTAACCAGTGTAGGCATCTAAGTACCATAACAAGCCCAAACAATTTTTACTCTTTTCTACAACTATAGGTGGTATAGGTCATGAAATTGACTTCATTTATAGACTGACTTTCTGAAGTGTTTGCTCTTTTAAATCTTCGGAAATTATGATGCAGTGCTCTAAAAACATTCCATTTACCTGTCATCTTTTACTTTCTATAATTGTGAGAACAACATTACAATATGAAAGTTTTTTTAACACATACATACCCACTCTTTTTTCTAGTAAGTTTCCTTGTTGGGCCAATTTGATTGCGTGTATGTAGCCAAAGGAAGCATCATATCCAAGCATTTCACAATATATAAGTCTTACCATGCATTCTTTCATCATTTCCTGGAAAGCAAGAAAATCAGTAACTATATAAATAAACAGAATGTCTTGATTTTTTAAAATTATGTTATAATCATTTAACAGAGGCATACCTCAAGCCTGACACTGTTACAGAGATATAACATGTATACTATAAATTAATCACCCAATATCAGACTGCATAAATAAAAGTTGTTCCCAGAGTTAATTACCAAAGTATCGATTTTAGCAAAATTACTGCGAACATTTTATTAATGACAACACTATAAAATAGACAAACTCTGTTTCTAAATCTATGGGTTCCTATTGTAAAATTTAGCTTTAATATGACATATGTGATGCTCAGACAAACTCTTATCCATGGTAACTAGATTTGGCTTCCGAAATGCAGGATATCATTTTACCATACTTTGTCAAATGAAAACATTTATAAAATTCCTACATATGATAAAAAATTTCTTTTAAATTTTTTTCACATTTAAAATCAGATTGTACCTAGACTTTTTTCATAAATATTCTACTATATGTAATATTTTGTTTCATAGGTACTTTTTGATAATTCACAATTACTATTTGAAGGGTGTGACTCCATTAGTAATTACATATTACTAATAACCTTTCCAAGAATTAATTTTTAATAGGATTTTCCAATATTTGCAGTATAATTTAAAAATTCTTCAAAGAGCCTTTAAGTTTATTTATAATACAATTTTTGCATCATATAGCTGCGTGCTGTGACATACGGGGTAAAGCTGTTGCCTGCAGCTCCAGGATCCCATACAGACATTGGTTCATGTCCTGGATGCTCCACTTCCCATTCAGCTGCTTACTTGAGGTTTGGGAAAGCAGTGGAAGATGGCCTTGTGTCCTTGGGTACCTGTACCCACATGAGAGACCTGAAGAAGTTCCTGGCTCCTGGCTTCTAACCTCTGACTGTTGCAGCCATTTGGGGAATTAACCAATGGACGGAATATCTTTGCCTCTCCTTCTTTCTCTCTCTGTAATTCTGCCTTTTCAATAAATAAATCTGTTTAAAAATTTTTTAGCAATATTTGCATCCTCAATATTTATAGCAAATTTTAATCAGAAATAAAAATACAAGTGTGCTTCAAAAAAGTCACAAACTATTTTAATATCTAAAATTGACTAAAGTTTGCACATTACATCACAAGATTATTAAGTGACAAAATGCTTACAAAAAAGTAAAATAAAATGAAGTCAGTAAAATGTTTGCAACTTTTTATGTGGGAATATGTGTGTGTCTGTGAATAAGAAGGGCTTAAAGTAAACCATCAGAAAATTTTAGGGGAGCAAGATTTAATTTGGGCCAGTAGTGCTAACAGCAATAAGATTAACTCATTAAGATGTTAATTAAGACTATTAAATACTGAGAAACCAAAACACTGGGAGTTCTTCATCAAAAATTTTTACATCAATTAGCAGTGAAAATGTCATTAAATGTCAACTCTGGATTTGTAGCATTTTACTTCAGGTTTTCAAAAATCATTATGAACTTAATTTAAGCAAAACTGTACAGCCTACACTATTATTTTCTTATTGTAAGAGTAGAAATTGTATTCCCCAATCACGAATCCTCTTTACAAATTCTCTGTTAACTATTATCCAACTTCTACATCAGAGGTGCGGAACGCTTCTTCTGTCAAGGGTCATTTGGATATTTATAAGATCATTCATGGTCCATATAAATGATCAACTTAGGGGCTGCAATGATGGCTCAATTGTCTGCAAGCACTGGCATTCCCTATGGGCACCAGTCCATGTCCTATTTGCTCCACTTCCCATCCAGCTCCCTGCTTGTGGCCTGGGAAAGCAGCATAGGATGGGCCAAAGCCTTGGGACCCTGCACTCGTGTGTGCGGGAGACCTGGAAGAGGCTCTTACCTCCTGGCTCTGGATTGGCTCAGTTGTAGCCATTGCAGCCCCTTGGGGAGTAAATGAGAGAATGGAAAATCTTTCTCCTCTTTGTAAACCTGCCTTCCCAATAAAAATAAAGATTAATCTTAAAAAAAAAATTTACCAACTTAAAAATCAGCCTGCTACTGATGCAATGAATTTCAAGTCCCTCCTGTGGCTTTCTCAGAAGAGCCAGATGAAATGAATCTGGGTTTTACATGGCCTGAAGTATAGAAGATCCCCATCCTTGCTCTATGTGATTAGCTCAGCAACAGACTATTTAGTAAGTTGTGTCCATGTTCGATGGATCTACCAGCTATCTTAATTCTGCCCAGCACCAGGTTTATTCCCTGTAGCAAGGCAAAGAGTGATGCCAATCACTCTACACATCAGATTAACAAGGCTTTGAGCTTTATTTGTCCACACATTATCACAGCCATAAAACACAGTGTATACATTCCCTCGGAATTTACAACTGCTATTCACATTCATGATCATGTACTCATCATGCAAAGCGATCGCCCACACATTTCCAAGGGGGCAAAAAGGGAAAACATATAAACACAAAACATCTGCTGAACAAATGTTGCTTGGAAACATTCTCATTTAAAAACAAAAACAAAAACAAAAAACACCTCGGGACAGACATTTAGCCTGGCAGTTAAGGTACCATGTGGGAAGCTCGCATCCCATATGAGAATCTTCAGCTTTAAGCGCCAGCTCTGCTTGCAATCCTGCTTCCTGGTAGCCGCAGGTGGAGACCCACACAGAATGCCTGACTCCAAACTTTCATCTACCCCAGCCTTCGCATGTACAGGTACTCAGGCAGTGACCCAGCAGATGGAAGAGACCTTTGTCTCTTTGAAATAAATTGAAACAAATAAAACAAAACTAGATTTTCATCTGCACTGGGACAACCCCACCATGATCTGCACGAGTCTACTCACTAAATACTCACAAGCAGGGAGTTGCTGGGGTGGTCATTCAGTCAAATGATTAAGTCTCTGGTTAGTATACCTACCTACATACCCAGAGGGCCTAGATTCAACTTCTGCTAGTGCAGACCCTGTGAGCCAGCAAGGATGTTCATGTACCTGGGTTCTTGCCACTCACCTGGGAGACATGGATTGAATTCCTGGCTCTCAGCTTTGTCCTGGGCCAGAGCCAGTCAAAGGCACTTGGGAGTGAACCAAGATATTGGCATTCTTTGTTTTTTTTTTTTTTTAGATTTATTTTTACTTTAATTGCAAAGTCAGATATACAGAGAAGAGGAGAGAAAGAGAGGAAGATCTTCTGTATATTGATTCACTCCCAAGTGGCCACAATAGCTGGAGCTGCAATGATCCGAAGCCAGGAGTGGGAGCCTTCTCGGGGTCTCCCATGCGGGTGCAGGGTCACAAAGCTTTGGGCCGTCCTCTACTGCTTTCCCAGGCCACAGGCAGGGAGCTGGATAGGAAGCGGGGCAGCCACGACACGAACCAGCGCCCATATGGGATTCCAGTATGTTCAAGGCGAAGACTCCAGGCAACAGGCTACCGCGCTGGGCACATAGGTATTATTTGTCTCTCTCCCTTTCAGATAATTTTTCTTCTAAGTTATTCCAAAAAATCAAATTATACACAGCCAAGTTTAAAAACTGGGTCTTTGTCTAGCTGTGTGCAGTAAACTGAGTTCCACAGTTAAAAAAAATAAAAACCTACCTTGTTAGCAAACCCATGCCCCAAAACACGTAACAGTAAAATTATAGATGAATATTTGTATATTCAACCCAGGTCACAAAATACAATTTTAAATAATACAGCCTAACTTTTCAAGTATACCATCCATAACTGACTTCAACTATGATAAAATAAATCTTAGCAACTGAGAAGTTGGACATCCCTATTAAAGTCCACAGTGGAACAATTTCAAACTCAAGTACATAGAAATGACTACATAAACTTACCAGTGTTGTAGAAGGAGCAGAAACAGTTGCTTTCAAACTATTTAATTCCTGCTGGATTAATTTCTCTTCTTCCTGAAACAATATTTAAACGTTTGAATATCTACTATTTTCAATATTAATTTTATTTTTTAATTTCTGAAATATTCATTTTATTTTTATTTGCAAGGCAGAGCTACAGAGAGGAGAGACAGAGAGAAAGATTTTTTATCCACTGGTTCACTCCATAAGGGCCACAATGGCCAAAGCTGAGCTGATCCAAAACCAGAAGCCAGGAGCCTCTTCTGAGTCTCCTATGTGGGTGCAGTGGCCCAAAGACCTGAGCCATTTCCCACTGCTTTCCCAGGCCATAAACAGAGAGCTGGATGGCAAGCGGAACAACTGAGACATGAACCAGTTCCAATATGGGATGTCACTGTGCCAAGTGCAGGCTTGACCTACTATGCCCTGATGCCAGCCCCCAGCAATACTTTTATTTTTAAAGAGAAAAATTAATTTTTATTGTTTCATAAAAAACTAATTTTACATACCTTCAACTAAAAATAAACATTTTTTTTAGATTTATTTTTATTGGAAAGTCAGATATACAAAGAGGAGAAGAGACAGAAAGATCTTCTGTCTGATGATTCACTCCCCAAGTGAGCACAATGGCCAATGCTATGCCGGTCAAAAGCCAGGATCCAGGAACTTCTTCCAGGTCTCCCACACAGGTGCAGGGTCCCAAGGCTTTGGGCTGTCCTCAACTGCTTTCCCAAGCCACAAGCAGGGACCTGGATGGGAAGTAAAACTGTCGGGATTAGAACCGGCGCCCAAATGGGATCCCGGCGCATTCAAGGCGAGGACTTTAGCCGCTAGGCCATCACGCTGGGCCCATAAACATTATATTTAAAGAAGAGATACAAATATAACATTGCTAAGATCTGCCTGAAGGCTTTGGCCAGCCTTTAGCATCATCCCTGGAAAGCAATCACCTCTAAACTACCATTTCTCTTCACTCAGTTACTATCCCTTTAAGGGGTTGTTTAGGAAACAGTCTTTAAAAACTGAAGAGGGACTAGAGCTAGAATGTCCCATACAGGTGCTGGTTTGTGTCCTGGCTGCTGCACTTCCAATCCAGCACCCTGCTAAAGGCCAGGGAAAGCAGAGGAAGCTAGCCCAAAGGCCTGGGTCCCTGCCCCCCACATAGGAGCACTGTGGAACCTCCTGGCCGCTGGGCTCCTGGTTTTGACCTGGCTCAGCCCTAACCTGGATGGCCACTCAGAAAATAAACCAGTGGATGTATGTTCTCCCTCTAACTCTTTCAAATAAGTACGTAAATCTCCATTTAAAGTTGGAGAGAAATTCTCCATGTCCTGCTAGTTTCTGCCTTATTCCCGCACGCTTTTCCCCATTTCGCATCTCCCACTTACTCTCCTATGTTACACAATCCACGCTGTAATTTTACCTCCATAAGCACTTACAAATTGGCCTCATAAACGCAAAGGACAGGCATGAATGCAGTCGTTTGGACACTGCTTAAATGCCTGCATCCCATACCACAAAGCTTGGTTCAACTCCTGTCTTCCCCTCTGGATTCTTGCAATGTGCATCCTAAAAGGCAACAGGTAATGAAAGACTCAAAGTCTTGGATTCTCCCGAACCAAGGTATGACCTGGACTGAGTTCTAAGCTTCCAATTTCAACCTGGCACAGACCTGGCTACTGCCAGCAGTAGGGAAGTAAACAAACCAAGATGGATCTCCATTCATCTGTCTGTCTCCCCATCTTTCAAACAAAAATGAAAATTAAAAACTTAAAAAGAAATAGCAAACAAATTATACACTGAGTTAGCAGGTGTACCTTAGGTGGGTAAGCAAAAACAAACTAGCAAAGTTAGCACCGCATTTGGATACCATGCACAGTTTCAAATTGTGATTTGAGAGTAAAGATATTCAAGTTATTTTTAAAATATATTTAAAATTTTAATATTTAAATTTTTAAATTAATATTTAAAATTTTTATTTATTTATTTATTTATTTAGATTTATTTTTATTATTTTTTTTATTGGAAAGGCAGATATACAGAGAGGAGAGACAGAGAGGAAGATCTTCCATCTGATGATTCACTCCCCAAGTGAGCGCAACGGCCGATGCCATGCCGATCCGAAGCCAGGAGCCTCTTCCGTGTCTTCCACGCAGGTGCAGGTTCCCAAAGCTTTGGGCCGTCCTCGACTGCTTTCCTGGGCCACAGGCAGGGAGCTGGAAGGGAAGCGGGGCAGCCGGGATAGAACCGGCGCCCATATAGGATCCCGGGCATGCAAGGCGAGGACCTTAACCACTGAGCCACCGTGCCGGGCCCTAAAATTTTTATTTTTAAATATTTCATTTCTAAATTTAAAAGTGAAGTGCTTAAATTAAAAATAGTAAACATTTATTTTTGAAAATTTACTATTTTATAATATTTTTTAAATTTTTTAAGATTTATTTTATTTTCATTGCAAGTCAGATATACAGACAGGAAGAGAGACAGAGAGGAAGATCTTCTGTCCGATGATTCACTCCCCAAGTGACCACAACAGCCAGTGCTGCGCCGATCCAAAGCCAGGAGCCAGGAACCTCCCCAGGTCTCCCACTCAGGTGCAGGGTCCCAAGGCTTTGGGCCGTCCTCGACTGCTTTCCCAGGCCACAAGCAGGGAGCTAGATGAGAAGTGGAGCTACCGGGATCAGAACCAGTGCCCACATGGGATCCCAGCACACTCAAGGCAAGGACTTCAGCCACTAGGCCATGGCGCTGGGCCCTTAAATTATTTTTAAAAGTTTGGAGCCAGCATTTTAACACAGCTGATGCCTGCGGCACCCACATCCCATAGGAGCGGCCGCTCCACTTCCAACCCAGCTCCCTGCAAATAAGCCAGGGAAAACAACAGGCCCTGGCCACCCACCTCCGAGAGCCAGATAGTTTCAGACTCCCTCTTCAGCCTGGCCAAGCCAGGACCAATGCAGTTACTTAGTGAGTAAACCAACAGATGCAAGCTTGTACTCTCTGTCTTATGAAAAGGTAAAGAAGTGTTTATGATTTATTTGAAAGGTAGTTATACAGAGAAAGAGAGACACAGAAACCGATCCTCCATCTCCTGGCCCTCACTAAATGACCACAAGAGCTGAGCTGATCAGGAGCGAGGAGCCAATGGCCAGGAGCCTCTTCCGGATCGCCCATGTGGGTACAGGGGGCCCAAAGACTTGGGCGATCTTCTCGCTGCTTTCCCAGGACATAAACAGGGAGCTGGATAGGAAGCAGAGAAGCTGGGACTCAAACCAGCACCCACAGGGAATACAAGTGCTTGCAGGCAGAGGCTTAGCCCACTACACCTGATGCCAGCCCCATAAACAAATCTTTAAATTTATTTTTCATTTAGGGCCCGGCGCGATAGCATAGCGGCTAAAGTCCTCTCCTTGAACGCGCTTCGATCCCATGTGGGTGTTGGTTCTACTCCTAGCAGCCCCACTTCCCATCCAGCTCCCTGCTTGTGGCCTGGGAAAGCAGTCGAGGACGGCTCAAGGCCTTGGGACCCTGCACCCGTGTGGGAGACCTGGGGGAATAGCTCCTGGCTTTGGATTGGCTCTGCTTGGGCCTTTGTGGCTGCTTGGAGAGTGAACCATGGGCCGGAAGATCTTCCTCTCTGTCTCTCCTCCTCTCTGTATATCTGCCTTTCCAATAAAAATAAAATAAATCTTTCTTAAAAATTATTTTTCATTTCAAATCCCACAAAAATCAGTAAAAATCAGGAACATCAAGTAAACCAATATTGAATGGCATATTGATTATGGAAAATCTAAAGCAGAACGTCTTCAGCACAGCATGATTTTATTCCAGCTCCTCTCTCCCATCCTCCTTTCCCCACCTCCCAGAAAAAACTTCTTTTAACTTTCAGAGAAGTTCATTTTTCCTTTTTCCTCTCCTGGTAGTTACACAACATTGTTACCGTTATCACCACTCACGCACAAAAGGAATGGCCAAATCCTTGGAAGAAGGGAATGTGTCTCACTCCATTTTCTTCAAGAACTACTAGGTAAATAGTTGCTCAGTAAACACGTCTTGGGCAGTTCATGGCAGCATGCGTTCTCAACTCCCGAAGCCCTGAATCAGAATCTCACACAACCCGGGCAACTCCCCCCAAAACCTGTGGGACTTCACAAAGCTCGCCGGAGGCCGAGACTTACTCAGCAAATCTGACATTTACGGTCTAACTTGAGAACCCAAACATACTCCAACAGCCTGCTCAGGTGGCCGATTTGCCCGTGTACGGAGTGACAGCGAGCAGCTGACAGGCCTGGGGAAGACTGAGAACTCGGGCAATCAACTTGGCAACTTGGCGGAATCAGTGCCCGACAGCCCCGTCGCACCGGGACATCTCCCCTGATTAATCCTCAACCCTAGGGGAAGATGCGCCAGCACGCGACTCCTTCATCACTGAGAAAACACAAACGTTCGGAGGTTATAGAGACATTTGTGCCCCATCACCACGAGTCGGTATCGGAGCAAACTGAGCTGTCAGTGCGGACGGGAGAAGGAAGCTTCCCGGCAGACGACACAAAGGCAGCGCCTGCTGCGCCGCTCGGGAAGGTCTGCCGGGTTAGGTTTTGGGGTCTGGCAGCCTGGCTAGGGCCTCCCGGCATGGGGACGCCTGCACCCCGGCGCTCCGAACCTCCCGGACCCGCCGGCCACTTACGTGCTTAGAAGTGAGCGCGGTGATGCTGCGGACCAGGCCGCGCAGCCGCGACGAGAAGGACGCCTTGGCAGCCGCGGGCCCGCCGCCCGCCTGGCCCTGCAGAAACAGACCCGGCAGGGCCGTCAGCGTCTTCTCCACGATGTCGCTCATCGCCGCCGCCTCTCGCGTCGCCGTCCGACTTCATGCCAGGCGGCCGCCCCCACCGCCGCCGCCGCCGCCGCCGCCGCAGCCCTCGCCGTCCGGGCCTCCGTAGGCACTTCCTGTTGTTTGAAGAAGAAATCTTTATTCGCGTCCAGCGCGAACAGACACACAGCGGCGTTCTCCAGGGAGGCCGCGGGGCGGAGCCGCTGGCCCCGGCGAGCGAGGTGACGTGTTGGCCGAGTCGCGGCCGGGACGCTCCCGGTTTCCATAGCAGCCCAGGGACGCCTCCCACCCGGCAACTGTGAGTTCTCCTGAGGAAGTGGCTCGACCCTCGCTCTGCGTCCCCTCAGCGCTCGCGTCTTCGAAAGGGGCTCCTTGCGGGTCTCGCCTTCTCAGGGACGCCCCGACCTCAGCCACCCCGCACTGGGGACGCGGGCAGCCCTCCCGCTTCTCGGCGCTGCTGCGCCCCGAGAGGCCCCTGCACCTCGGGGAGCCCTGGCCGCGGCGGGGCCAGCTCCTCTAAGGGTGACGAACGGCTTTGGGAACTCGCAGTGCCCATTTCACGCCGTGCGATTTAAAGGTCACGTTCCTGGAGCTGCGTTGCCGGTCAGGCAGGCCAGGAGCGGTCTCCGGGTCCCCCATTTGTCCACGACACCTGCGCACTGGCCCCCACGTGCCACAACACTCGGTTCTGCCCACATGGCTACTACATGCAGACCTCCCAATGGCGAGCCTGTCTCACTCATAACCGTGTCTTAGCGCCTGCCTGGAACGCGGTCTAGTATTGTGCTTCTCAAAATGAGTTCCGGTGACTTGTTGGCATCCCTGGAATCCTTTCACGTGACCCACCGAGTCCGAATGCTGTTCCTCATGTTGTTCAGTGGTATTTGCTTTTCTCGCTCTCATTTTCCCAGGGGTGTGCAGGGTTTTCTGGAGGCAGATAACCTGTGATGACCCTGCTAACTGGTGAGATGTGTGCTTGCAATTTCTTGTGTTTTAGTAAAAAACATACTTTGGTTTAAAAAAAATAAAGAAAATCAATTAAGAGAACTAATGCACTATAAAGTCACTTCAAGTCCTGCTGGTGGTAGATAAAATACTGAAAGTGCTCAGTAACTACAGGCTCGCGCTACTTGTGTTTTTAAAATATTTGTTTCATTGGCATGTAAAAGTTGTTTGTATTTAGGAGGTGTTTTGTTTTGATGCCACCCATGATGTTCAAAGCAGGGTAAACATCTTTCTCTTCACACACCTAACTAGGTGAAAACACTCAAAATCACTTTTTTCTGGATTTTTAAAGACAAGTATGTAGTATACGGTATGTCATTACCTGTAGCCCTCCCCCCACTGTGTACTAGAACCCCAGAACGGGTTCTCTTACCTATGACTGGTACCTGTTCATCAGTTTCCTCCCTCCCCAACTTTTAAGAATGGACATTCGACTCCCAATTTGCATGACATGCACCTTTTTTTTTTTTAATTCCACATATGAGTGAGATCATGCAGTCCTAGTTGTTTAGTGCCGGCTTATTTCATTTCACATGATGACGCCCCCCAGTTCCAGTCATGCTGTTGCAGCTCACAAGATCCCATCCTTTTCTATGGCTCAAGAGCATGCTATTGTGGGTTTGTACCACACTTTTCTCTGTTTGTTAATGGACATTGAGGTGGTTTGAATGTCTTGGCTGTTAAGAACAATGTTGCAGTAAGCTCGCCGGTGGCGCCTGGGCAGGCTGATTTAATGTGGTTTGGACAGATACTCTGTAGTGACTCATATTGGTGGTTCTGCTTTTAATTGGTTGAGGAACCTTTCTGTTGTTTTCCAGTGAGACTCCTGTTAACATTTCCACAAGCAGCATACATACTTGCCAGCACTTATTCTCATTTGTCTTTTTTTTTAAATGATAGCCCATCTAACTGAGATGATATGATAGCTCACTCTGATTTTGATTTGTATTCCCAGGATGAGTATCAGCTGATGAGCGTTTTCCGTGTATCTGCTGGTCCTTTTAAGGTCTTGCGTTGTTTAAACCTACTGTCCCTGTTGAAGTTGGACTATTGGAAGATTTTTGTCATTGAGTTGTTTGCCTTGCTTATGGATTTTGGTTACCAGCTCATTGTCAGCTGCGTCATTTGCAAATGTTTTCCCCTATTCTAGACTGACTCCACGGTGATGGTTGTTTCCTTTCCTGTGGAGAAGAATTTTATTTTCATGAAATTCCAGTTGTCTGTTTTTGTGTTTGTTTCTTGTGTTTTGGGATCTGCTCAAAAATTAAAAAAAAAAAAAAAAACTAAAACTCTTGCACATTTTTTAAAGGCAGACTTACAGAGAGAGTGAAAGAGAAACAAAAGATACAGGTCTTCCATCCAATAATTCACTCCCAAAATGGCCACAGCTGCCAGGGTGGGGGCTGGCTTCCAGCCCAAAGCCAAGGGCAGGAGTTTTCTCTGGATCTCACATGGGCACAGAAGCCCAATGCCTTTGGCCATTCACTGCTTTCCCAGGTGCATTAGCAGGGAGCTGTATTGGAAGTGGGGCAGCTGGGACTTGAATCAGCACCCACATGGAATGTTTGTCTGCAGGCTGCAAGTTAACCCACAGAGCCAACCCCGATGCATGCCCATTCTAATATCCTAAAGCATGCCCTGTATGCTTTCTCTAGTAATTGTCTTTATTGTTAGAGGTTCCAGGCATGAGACAGAGTAGGGGCTGCTGGATGACTCGGCAAACATGTTGCCAACATGGGTGCAGTAGAGATACTTATGCACAAAACTGACAGAAGTGGTAAGCAAAATAGGAAGATTTACTGGGGTAGGACATCTAAAATGATTGGCATGTCTCTGGACAGAATGTGAGAGAGTGCCCAGCCTCTCAGACTGGAATAAGCAAGGTTGCATAGTTAAATACAAAGAATACACCTGACAGGCCGGGCAGGCATCTCCACACTGAGAGCTGAAGACCGAAGACTGACATTCCTCTCTGGAGTAGGCAGGCAGCTCAGGAAAGAGCTGAGTGTGCTGTCTGTGGGTAGACGGGGGCTTACAAGGGAATGGGGTCCAGTTCTTTGTGCCGTCTGTCCTCCCCATTGCCTGCTTATCCTGGACCAAAAGTTTGCTGCTTGTAAAGTAGGTAAAATTCCACCCACGGTTTTGTTACCCAGCATTCTCAGTAGTAGCCCACTGGCCCTGGGCAGAGAGATGCCTTTCTTGAGGGCACTGCTGGGACCACATCTAAAGTTGTTGAGAGCTAGGCAGGGCTTTGTAGTCTGAAATTCTAGGCTGCTTCAAAGGACTGCTGCTGAAGCTGCTTTGTTTGCCTTAGGCCCCTCTCACACACAGAGGCTGCTTTCTAACTTCCTACCTAACAAGATGTTCTTGCATTTGTTTCATCAGTGTTTTTGCATTTTCATTGTAGAGATCTTTTATGCTTTAAATTTATTGTCGGAAATTTTATCTTTTTGTAGTTATTGGAAATGAGTTTACCCTATTTCTTTTTTCAGAGCATTCACTATGAATACGTAACAACGAAACTGAAATGACTTTCTCTCCTGCAACTTTGCTGAATTCGTATGTTAGATTTTTTTTGTTTGTTTGTTTTTAAAGATTTATTTTATTTTTATTGGAAAGGCAGATATACAGAGAGGAGAGACAGAGAGGAAGATCTTCCATCTGATGTTTTACTCCCCAAGTGCGCGCAATGGCCGGTGCTGTGCTGATCCGAAGCCAGGAGCCTCTTCCAGGTCTCCCACGTGGGTGCAGGGTCCCAAAGCTTTGGGCCATCCTCGACTGCTTTCCCGGGCCACAGGCAGGGAGCTGGGTGAAAGTGGAGCTGCCGGGATTAGAACCGGCGTCCATATGGGATCCCAGGGCATTCAAGGCGAGGACTTTAGCTGTTAGGCCACGCTGCCGGGCCCTAAAAATGTTTTTAACAGGATGGTGACATCAGGAGCTGAGAATTTGAGGACTCAGAGAAAGGGAGAAATGTGGGTGAAACTGCGAGGAAGAAAGGAAGCCGCGACAAAGGTCTCTTCCCTTCCCTTGTTTATAGAGATGTTCATTGTTTACCTCACTGCATCTCATTCAGCACAACATTTTCAGATACCATTACAGTGTCACTTCAGTTGAGGCATCATTTTGCGAACAGTCATGATTTAAAGGAGGGGAGAATTTAATATTTTAAAGATAAACCTGATCAGCTTTTTTTTTTAAAAGCCAAAGCTATTTTTTTTAACAATTTCCTATGTAGAAATGAAAAAACCCACTGAAAATTTTTATTGCAGGTGAGTTAAATTACTGTTATTACTTTGCCTGGAGGAGGTCATGAAATAGCTAAAAAAACTAATAAGCCATTGTACATGGCTGAACAAATACCTACTAAATGAAAAATCAGCAAAAGGGTCTGGTGCAGTAGCCTAGTGGCTAAAGTCCTACACTCACACATGCTGGGATGCCATATGGGTGCTGGTTCCAATCCTGGCAGCTCCACTTCCCATCCAGCTCCCCGATATGGCCTGGGAAGGCAGTCGAAGACAGCTCAAAGCCTTGGGACCTTGCACCCACGTGGGAGACTTGGAAGAGGTTCCTGGTTCCTGGCTTCGGATCGGTGCAGCACCAGCTGTTGCATTCACTTGGGGAGTGAATCATCAGACAAAAGATCTTCCTCTCTGTCTCTCCTCCTTTCTGTATATCTGATGTTGCAATAAAACAAACAAATAAATCTTTTTTAAAAATGCAATGGCTCACTAAAATTTACTATAAATCTACAGTAGCCAAGCAATGTAGTATTGATATAAAGATAGACATATAGTATATTCTAGTGAAACAGAATTGAAACTCTGAACTCTTACATTTATGAATTTTTAAAAATGCAGACAGAAAGAGCTTGCAAACATTAATTCATTCCCTAGTACCCACGACAGCTAGGGCTGGGCCAGAGGCCGAGAAAAAGCTGGGCATGCAATCCAGGTCACCTGTGTGCGAAGCAGAAACTCAACGAAACATCACTGTTGGCTCCCAGGGATGCACTGGCAGAAAGTCAGCAGGAGTCTGAGCCCAGAAAATGAGTTCAGGACTGTCATGTGGGACACGGGTGTCTGAACCACCAGACAGAGTAAACATCCAC